GCATTTGTTTTCAAATTAATTTAAGGCATATTTTGGACACTATAAGGCCTATGATCATCAAACTTTGTCAGTTGGTGCATCTTGGGTCTTCGAACAATGATACCTTAAAAGTAGGTCACCTTGATCTTTTTTTTAAAACATTTAATCCCATTATTTCAGACACTGAGAGGTTTAGAAACATCTAATCTTGTAAGTTGATGCATTCTGGTCGTCATTCTTCAAAAAACCCAAGATGCATCAACTGACAAAGTTTGATGATCTTAAGCCAGTAAGTACCTAAGATACTAAAATCAATACGTAATAAACATATTTTTGAAAAAGTAGGTCACGTTGACCTACTTTTGTAATTTTGCGGGCATATGTTTTCAAATTGATTTTAAGGCATATTTTGGACACTTTAAGGCCTATGATCATCAAACTTTGTCAGCTAATGCATCTTGGGTCTGTGGAAAACGTCAATCAAAATGTAGGTCACGGTGACCTACTTTCGACATTTTATGACTATATTTTAGTGTCTTAGGTACTAAGATCATCAAACTTTATCAGTTGATGAATCTTGGGTTTCGAAAAATGACGACTAAAAAGTAGGTCAAGGTGACCTACTTTTGACATTTTATGGCTATGTTTAAGTATCTCTGGTACTTATTGGCTTAGAATCTTCGAACTTTGTCAATTGATGCATCTTGGGTTTTCGGAGAATGTCGCCCAAAAAGTAGGTCGTGGTGACCTACTTTGGAATATCTAAGGTACTTATTGGCTTAGAATCATCAAACTTTGTCTGTTGATGCTTCTTGGGTCTTTGGATACGTTGACCAAAATGTAGGTCATGTTGACCTACTTTTGACATTTTATGGCTATATTTTAGTATCTTAGGCACTTATTGGCTTGGAATCATCATACTTTGTCAGCTAAAGCATCTTGGGTTTTCCAGAATGACGACTAAAAAGTAGGTCATGGTGACCTACTTTTGACATTTTATGGCTATATTTAAGTATCTCTGGTACTTATTGGCTTAGAGATCATTGAACTTGGTCAGTTGATGTACCTTTGGTTTTTGGAGAATGTCTACCAAAAGGTAGGTCACAGTGACCTACTTCTAAATATCTCAAGTACTTATTGTCATGAAATCATCAATCTTTGTCAATTAATGCATCATGAGTCCTCAGAAAATGTCAATCAAATAGTTGGCCACTGTGACCTACTTATGGTATTTTATAGCTATATTGAAATATTTCAGTCCTAACTGGCCAAGAATCATCAAACTTTATCACTTGAGTTGGAGGGTTAAATAGAAGTGATAGATTGTACAATTTATCAGAAGAGCGATTTAAGGCCCTTGGGCCTCTTGTTTTTTTTTAATTTTTCTGCATTTTACAGTTGTTTTTTTTCATTTTAATTGACTTGTTCATTTTGGGTTTATTTGTAAGGTTTCAGACATAGAATCTAGAATGTCTGTACAAAAATGTGAACTACAGCTTAAAACTACTCATTAAAACTAATATAAAGAAACATCATCAAGTGTTTAACACAGTTTTTACATTACACAGAAGATAATGTATATTCATTTGTCTGTTGGAAGTAATGACTGGACATGGATCCAGTTAAAGACTTATCAAACATTTGTTATCTCCTGGGAATTTGGCACTTATGAGAATTAAATATCTCTCTTCTCTTATTCTCTTAATTGTAATTTATTGTCTGTCAAAGCACTTCATTACTGGATGACCAGCTCTTTATTTTCAAAATGAATTTGATATGAAGTTATCAAGATTAATTTGATTTTGTTTAATATGATTTTTTTCAACAATCAGTTTGCAGAGTGTCATGACACATAGTTGCAATTTATTTTTTCTATGAAATAAAAATGTTACAAGGGAATTACAATGTATTAGTATTGGTGTTTTATTTGGTTGCACTTTGATTTCATTCATTAAAAAATATAAAGAGCAATTATATTTTCACTGTTAATTTTTGTAAGAAAATTGTGAACACCTCTTAGATCCATAAAATATTTGTGAACTGGCACCTTCTCTGAAAAACCCAGTTGTAGGTATTTGTCCCTTTTGGAAGTTCTAGTTTGAATAGTTGATTTTCAGGCGCGTAGCATCGTTTTTGAAAGTGGGGGGGGGGGGGGGGGGCAGCCAGAGAAATTTTTCTTTTTACTTACCTGAAAAAGTTGACGAGCAAAAAAAAAAAAAAAAAAAAAGGAAAAATGGCCCAAAGTCGAATATCCTATTTCGTGTGTGTGTGTGTGTGTGTGGGGGGGGGGGGGGGTAAACCTTTCCTCAGTGTCAACTACTTTGAGTACCAGTTCTAATACTACATTTTCAAGACATCACTAAAAGTGGGGGGGGGGGGCAACCAGGCTTTCTAATTAACATTTCCTATAATATAAGTAAGGTTGTGAAAAAAAGTGGGGGGGGGGGGGGGGCAGGCCCCCCTGCCCCCCCCCCCCCGTTGCTACGCCCCTGATTTTGTCATTATAATATAATGACATAGACTGCATTGGTGTATAAAGTAAGGAAAAAATACTAAAGAAATTGTTTTATTACAAAATTTGCGGGGAACAACATACATGTACATGTATATATAATATATATCTCTTTAATAAACAAGTCTCGATTTTTCATACCGGTATTTATAACTATATAAGCACCCTCATAGAAAAAGAGAAAGGGTTCATTTAACAGGTTTGGACGATTTCCAAATATCGAAGTCAAGAACGATAACTGAAAGCTGCTTTAAATATACATCATGTACACGTAATTTTTTTTCTGTCCAATCAGACAACAGCATTTTTACATACTCATTTTTTAAAAGAACAAAAAAGATAACACCTGCTTTTGTTTTTTTTCCTCGAAAAGATTTTTTAACAAAATATCTTTAGAAGTAAGATTAAAACTTTTGATGAATAAGGTATCCCCTACATATTTACCGTGAACAACCTTGATATTTTTATTTCGGTAAAGAAAAAAATGCATGATACAATGTAATCGTTTACGAAGGAATAAATCACACCAGCAAGTTCTTATCAAGTTTAACAAGAACTGTCCCAAAAGGACAAAATACCCCCACTGGGTTTTTCAGAGGTGCCAAATCATGAATATTTTATGAATCTAAGAGGAGAGAGAAATGCTCAAACATTTTTAGTGCAAATGTAATTGCTCATTATATCTCTTATGAATGAAACGAAGGTGCACCCTAATAAAAAAATAAAGACAAAAGATAAAGACCAGGGGCCCGTTTTACAAAAGAACTTACGACTAAGACCAAAAACTTCAGATGATTGTAAAATTTGCAAAATTTATAATTCTCTTTGAAATTGGTTGTGTAAAAATATTTTTCCACATTCCTTTTAAAGAATTTTAAATAATTTTCGATATAAAGTTAATTAAAAAGTTATATGAAGAATTAAATTTGGTCTTAAGTCGTAAGTCCTTTTGTAAAACGGACCCCAGGCACTGTTATGAACTTTTTCTGTCAGTGACCTTAAACTTGCATAAATGACCTTGGTTCAAAGCCATGACACAACCTTGGGTCATAAGCAATCTTTGTGTAAAATGGGATCTCACCATGTTTATCCATAAGACAGATATGGACCAGACATGAATTATGACTTTTTTTCTGTCTGTGTCCTTGAACTTGCACAAATGACCTTGGGAAGTCATGACACACCCTCAGTTCATAAGCAATCTTTGTGTGAAATAGGAATTTACCAAGTTTATCCATAAGAAAGATATGGACTGGACATGAATTGTTTCTTTCAGTGACCTTGAACTTAAATGACCTTGGCTCAAGGTCATAACACACCCTCAGGTCATAAACCATCTGTGTGTGAAGTAGTAGATTCAAGTTTTTCCATAATAAAAGTATACGTGTACCAAACATGAATTATAAAAAAAAAATCAGTGACCTTGAACTTGCACAGATGACCTTGGGTCAAGGTAATGACACACCTTTAGGTCATGAGGAATCTTTGTGTGAAATAGGAACTTACCAAGTTTATCCATAAGAAAGATATGGACCGTAAACGAATTATTAAATTTTTCTTCCAGTGACCTTGAACTTCCCCAAATGTCCTTGGATCAAGGTCACGACACACCCTTAGGTCATGAGCAATCTTTGTGTGAAGTAGATTCTAATGTTCCTCGGTAAGAAAGATATGGACCGGACACGTTTGCACAGCTGGACGGACAGACAGACGTACGGACAAGCTGATTCCAATATACATGTACCCCCAAACTTCGTTTGCGGGGGGTATAATTATAACATTTACCAGAATATACTATATGCTGGTAAATATTCTTTTGCTAAGCCGTCCGATTTTTATCGATGATGCTTAATTTCCATGTGTATATATCCACCTCACATAAGTGTTTATCGTATGGACTACATTGAAATATCACGGGTTTCATGAGCGCCGAATACTAAGCTATGCAAACTTTAAATGGTCATAAGGAAAGGCGTAAAACGTGGAGAAAAAGAGAATAATCATACATGAATGTGTTTTATCCCAATATCTTACCTCGCATACCAGAAACTGATTTCGATTTTGTTATAAAAACTCAAAAATAATCAAGACTGTTATCTATTCGATAAAATTTTTATATCAAACTCTGAAATCTGAAAAAATTTACTTATTTATATCAAATTTTTAACGTAAGTTAAACTTTCGGGAATGCTACCTCCTTGTGACTGATTTTTAGTCCCACTTAAAACGTATTCTAAGCTTTCAAGTTGTGTTTGTTCACGGTAGAATTTTCATAAATATTATATTATTCCTAAATGTCCATTAAGTTTACAAAGAGTTTGTTCTAAAAAAAATCTTTCGGGCAAAAAACTTTAAAACCATGTGTTTTATTTATTTTCTTATGGGTTTGTCTGAATGCCGTTATCTGATTGGTCAGAAGGACTAGTACCTTGTTTATTCTGTTATTTATAGCAATTCACGGTTATCACTCTTGACTTCCTTATTTGGAAATCATCCAGACCTGTTTAATGAAAACAGAAGTTCAGTATATGAATAACACGTTACTAGTACACAGCACATGCATTACCAGGAATACTTTAGTTATTGTCATTAAAGAACACATGGGCGGATCTTAGGGAAGGGGGAGGAGGAAAGTCATCCTTCGGAATAAAATCCACTAAGAAATATGTCTTCTTCTACCTAACCTAAAAAAAAATCAAAGTCTGGCATGTCTTAGAGTCGATGTGAATCTCCATAGAACAAATTCCCAATTCGCCACTGGGTCCCTTAATTTCTGGACATTTTGTGATATGGATAATGTTGGTAAATAATTGTTTAATTATGCACCGTAACCATATCTGAATATTCCAACAAGTTGAATAATGAAAATCCTTTCAGTGATGCCAAGTTGAAGAGTTTACAGTTGTTTCTTTTTCACCACATTAATATTATTGTTGCTGTAAGTTTTACGACAATGTTCATTTCATTGTAAATCACTGCTATAAGATCGTGCAGGTCAAAGATTTGGAGGTAGGTTTTTCTGCAGCAGATCTTCCATCGTCAACCTTTAAAAAAATATGATTATGGTAATTTTAATCAATATTTATCAACATACAATATATGTAGTAAAATATATGGAGTTATAATTAGATTTAATGTTTTGCGATAAGTAGTAAATCAAAAGTATCATATTACTTTTAACTTCATTCTGATATCATTGAACCGATTATAACTAGCGTACAATTTTCTGCTGACTATTAGATGTACCTTTCCGAGGTCTGGCTCCCAGATAGTGCCCAGAAGGCGATTTTGTTTATGGAGAATTTCTTTAACCAGGAGCTCAAACACGGGGTCTATGTTCATACCGGTCTTGGCACTGACCTCACTGTAAAAGGGAAGTAACCCCTCCTGGTGTACCTTCTGACAGAGAATACAAAATGTACTACATATAAAATATTTTTTTGAAAAGTTAAGAATTTCTCTCTTCATTTCGAGGTGTGCAATGACAAACTGGAGTGGTAAACAATGCCATTAATGGAAAGAACAAACTCTGAGAAATGCAAAGAAAAATTTTTTTTTAGAGCAATACAATTAAAGACTGTCGAAGGAATACGTTGACTATCTGTCACTATGTGTACAATTTAACAGAATATAAAAGGAATGGATTGGCAATCCATTAGAGGATTGCAAATAAAATTATCTTACATATCTAATGTCAAACAGTTAGGGAAAAGCAATGTAATGTTGTCAGAGGAATGCATTAACAAACTGTTAAAGGAAGAAATGAAAACTGTTCATGAATGTAATAACAAACTGTCTAAAGCGAGCAAGAACAAACTGTGTAAAGAATGCAAACTGTCTAAAGAATGCAATGATAAACTGTCTAAAGAATGCAATGATAAACTATCTAAAGAATGCAATGATAAACTGTCTAAAGAATGAATTGATAAACTGTCTAAAGAATGCAATAAAAGACTGTCTGAAGAATGCAATAACAACCCCCCAAAGAATGCAATAACAAACTCTCTAAAGAATGCAATGATAAACTGTCTAAGCAATGCAACAACAAACTGTCTGAAGAATGCAATAACAAACTGTTTAAAGAATGCAATAACAGACTGTTTAAAGAATGCAATAAAAATGTCTAGAGAATACAAGAGAAAATTTCTTAAGAATGCAATAACAAAAACGTTCTAAAGAATGCAATACCCCAAACTGTCTAAAGAATGCAATAACAAACTGTCTAAAGAATGCAATAACAGACTGTCTAAAGAATGCAATAGAATGCAATAAAAAAAACTGTCTAAAGAATGCAATAACATACTGTCTAAAGTATGCAATAACAAGAACTCTCTAAAGAATGCAATAACACACTGTCGAAAGAATGTAATAACTGTCTAAAGAATGCAATGGCAAACTGCTTAAAGAATGCAATGTCAAACTGTTTAAAGCATGCAGTAACAAAATGTCTAATGCATGCAATGACAAACTGTCTAACGATCGAATGCAATGACAAACTGTCTAAAGATTGCAATATACAAAACTGTGTAGAGAATGCAATAACAAACTGTCTAAATAATGCAATGATAAACTGTCTAAAGAATGCAATGGCAGATTGTTTTAAGAATGCAATAACAAACTTTCTAAAGAATGCAATGGCAAACTGTCTAAAGGATGCAATGATTTGAGTACTGAAAACATTACGTCATCAGAATGTATAAAATACCTCTTCACATTGTTCATAAGAAACTCGAGCAAGTCCGGTGGTGAGATTCTTGTTTGTTGCGGGAGGATCATCAGTTTTCCCAAGCGGATCTAAGTCGTTTTTATTACCAATTAACATTATCACCGGGTCTCCAAGAGTTTTCTATGGAAGAATATTAAGTTTTTTTTAAAGGATGGTATTTAAAATATATTGAATGACAGAATATGCATTTCGTCTACTGTGTGTAAAGAAAGAATAAAATAACTGTAAGCGTCCATTGGCTTTTTAAAATAACACACAGAGTGCAAAGTGATGATGGCGAAATGACTACTGATAACGTTTACCTGGCGAATACTTGTTAACCATTCCTCCACATCCTCAAAACTGCTGGGTTTCGATATGTCGTGTACAATTAAGACTCCCTGTAGAATAAAATATCGTGTAGTCGGCAAGAACATAATACAAAACGGAAAACCATGGTGGAATAACAACTTATAGTTCGAAATATAGAACATTTAGCGAACATCTAAATTTCGTCGAAACGTATGGTAAGTATTAAATATGGTTTACGTATAAATTTATTTTATAAACAAGTTGACAATAAAGATAACTTTTTATATAAAAAAAGTATTTAAGATCGAGCACACGGCGGATGTGACTTGACGAAAGGGGATGCTCACTCCTCCATGGTACCTGATGTTAATCATCAACTTTCCTTACTTATATCTTACTTATCATCTACACATAGAGCTTTATATATCTCATTTAATTCGATACGCATGCGACAAGAGTATGCTCAAGGTATGAACAACTTCTTTAACCAGGTCAATTAGAGTATTGACAAACAAGTTGATGAAACAAAATGTAAGGCTATTATTTACACACTTAGTTGTCTACAGATTTCCCCTTATTTTCCGATAATGACAGGGAGTACATAGCGGGTATGACCGGTCGGCAGGGGATGCTCACTCCTTCCTGGCACCTGATCCCACCTCTGATGTTTTAGAGGCCCAGGTTTGCTTTGCTCCTGATTTGTTTTGTTTGAATATTGACTTTTAAGCTCGAATACTGTTCTCTATATATTGAGTATTTTATTAAATATGTACATGTACTATAGCATAAATATAAATTAAAGCGTGTATCATAATCTAAATCTTAATCTAGATATAAATCATAAATGCAAATTTCAGAATTTGATGATTTTAGGGTTGTTTTGTTGGATTTTTTTGTAGGAATGTGACACCATTAGATACAGATAATAAATATTCATAAAATGTTTCAGAATATGCAGCAATGATTTCATTTGATTAGAAATAAATACATACTTGTGCTACTTTATACAAAGTCGGTGCTATTTCTTTTTGATAATCCTGTCCACCAGTATCTCTGTATAAATGAAAATATAAATCAAGTTACGATATAGAAACTTTTCTGCATGATTGAAAACATATAGATGTTGAATGACTTCGACATAACAAAGACCTTACATTAGCTCTATCTGGAGTTTCTGTCCATAAACTGTTATGAATTTCTTGTGTATATTTCCCCCTGAAATCCAGAAAGTATAATATATTGTAGTTTTTAAAGTTTTTTTTATTTGCACATGACTCTCACTCTCATTAATGCGCAAACAATCTTAATGAACGTGTGTTCAATGAAAGCGGCAGCCCCACCTCACAGTTATGAACCTTAACATCCCAGCAAATAAAACAATGGAAGAACTGTACTTCGAAGATGGCTAAAGCATCGAGTTGACATCAAAACAAACCAACAATAATTGTATTATATCCACCTTCTGAAATTTTTTTAAAAGTTTTCATTTGAAAGCTTTTTCTATTCAATTTACTAGTATTCAAATGAAGAACCACGATCGAAATCTTTGGAGGTGAGATAATTAAGAATAAGTGAAATATAATGTATGGAATCCGGATAGGGCCATGCAGTTCACTATCGCACCATCGAGTATCGACTAATAGGTCGATGGCACGATAATGCGATGATGCGATAACGATGATGCGATGACGATGGAGCTATGGTGCGATAGCGCGATGACAATGATGCGATCAAGCGATGACGATGGTGCGATAGAACGATAGAGTAAAAGTGAATATTGCTTCATCGTCATCCTACCATCGTGCCATCACTATCGCAACATCGTGTTATCGCACCATCGCTTCATCGTGCTATCGCACCATCGCCATCGCATTATCGCGCCATCACTTCATCGTTATCGCAATACCGCAACATAACTTCATCGTTATCGCACCATTGCTTCATCGTCATCGCATTATCAACCCAAACTTCGATTTTGCTATAGTGAACTGCATGGCCCTATCCAGATTCCATAATAATGGCATCTTTTAAAAAAAAAATTCAAGAACTGCGATATAATGGCATCTTTTTAAAAAAAATTCAAGAACCACTATATAATTAAAATTCAAGATAAAGCATCTTATTTAGTAATGTATAGAGAAAAAAGTGCTCATTAAATACAGTAGCCATTAGAGCAGCCATTGTGAGTCAGGAGAGTGCCTTTTGTTTGTCATTGAATAATCTGAAAAAGTTCATAGAGTGAAGGACTGCAACAAGGTTTTCCACTTAGTCCTTTATCATCTGTGTTATCTTACCTCTCGTGTATATGTACTCAGAAGAAAACGTTTCCCGGATGTATCTCGTTATTATGGATGTTTTTCCAACAGCATAAGTACCTACTAGAGCAATTTTGACTTTTGGTACCAATTGTTTATCACGGTCTCCAGAGTTTGACGCCGAGACACCCATATACACACATCCAGCCGTGGCTTTAAACATTGAAATGACCAAGTTACGTGTCCATCAAAAACATTATATATACCATTGAATTATTGATGCCGATAAATAAATCAAATGTTTTCAATGTTGTTAAAATCCATTTGAATCATCTTCTGTTTTAGTAACACGGAAGCTTCTATTGACCGTCCATATTATAACGCAGTAGTAATCACGCGGCTCTCGGTATGCACAGGACGGTCCTGATAACACCAACAGTGATGTCGGTACATGATAAGTTTTCCAGATTCACATGAAACATGTACAGGGATCTAGCTGATAAAGGCTTGCGTTTATTCAATAAATTCAATATATTGTGAATGTTTACTTCATGTACATTTTTGTGATTTTTCTTATTTAGACTACATATTTGTGCATTAAACTTTTCTTTTAATGTGACGGGTGAAAAACTCAGTTCAAAATAAAATGTAAACTGTAATAGAACATTATCACAGGAAACAATACGTGTTTGTAACACTGATGTTCCCGTTTGGCAGCTTTGGCGAAGGTTAAAGTTTCTAAAATACAAGTCAAACTCCAAGGTAAAGAGATCAAAAGTGTTGTTATTAAAAAAAGGACGTGTATCAATGATATACCTCTGAAATATGAAATCCAAAGCACCAACCATTCAAAAGATATGCCAAAGTTATTTTTTAATGTGGGTCAAACTCTAAGGTCAAGGTCAAAGATACCTGGGGAAAGATCTTGCTATAAGAAATGCACATGTGAAATATTAAGGTCCTAGCACCAACTGTTCAAAGGTTATGGTCAAGGTTAAAGTTTTTCAAAAGGAGGTCACACTCTAAGGTCAAGGTCAAAGTTGTTGATATCCGAAGAAAGCCTTGTCCCATGTGGAGTAAGAAAGTCCTAGCATCAACTTTTTAAAAGTTATTACCAAAGTTAAATTTTGCAAAAAGTGGGTCAAACTCCAAGGTCAAATATATTTATATCCAAAGAACCAAATTTTCGATTACAAGAGCATAAAACAACAACCTACATGTACTTAGAGCAAATTCAGAAGATTTTTCTCTAATTTCACCACTGCGTTTCAAAGCTATACGGGGATTTAGATTATATCGATTTCTACATCATTAATTTTATTACTGGTACATTTAACAGTTATATTTATTTCCTTCCGTTCTACAAAACTAATACATACTATAGTACATGTACTGCTTTCAAAGACCAGAAGTGTTTTCAATATACAGTGATATATTTTTTCTCCAGAATATGTATACATATGTCAAAAAGTTGATGTTCGCCATATCAAGTATTAATGAAATAAATAAAAGGTCCAATTTCCCACTTTTTATCGATGAACATTCTGCACAACTTTGTGTGCACCTCGAAATAAGACAAAAAATGCCTGTTCACTTTGTAAAAATAAGACCGGGACTGGATCCTACAGAAATTACAAGCATCTGTCCATTGTTTCGGAATTCTTCCAAGCTTCCCAGTATCTGTGCGTTGTTTTGGACCCTCACATGTAAGCGGGTTGATTTGAGGTGTCGTACCCCATCGTTTCCGCAGCCTGTTCCGCCACGCGCCTCAGTTGAGCGAATGTTGAGGGGGTTAGCTTCAGGCCAAACTTCTCGGCTTGAACTTTCATTCTATGAAACTCTGTATAAAAGACAAAGACATACATAAAATAACTTGCAGAAAACAACATGAGATTTAATTGATGATTTAGTGGTAGATGTATTTGCATTATATTATTTTTTATTCATTAATTTGCAGCAAAAATGGGAATATCTTACGTTTGTCCTTCACGCAGCAAGGACAAAATCTTGTCCAATAGTCGATAAAGGCCTCCTTCAAAGGGCCCACCACCAGATATCTACAGCAGTTCTTACAACAGATGTACCACACCATGCAGATCAGCGAGAAGAAGGAGAGACCAAAGATGGCTTTGAGTGCCAGCTTCTCCCAGTTTAATAATAAGTTCTTAATTCTGGCCTCCTCTTCCGTCTGTCACATAAAATAGAAAATAAAATAATGCTTATTGCGGAATTCCATTACACAACATTATGTCTCCAAACCATAACCAGAAGTATCCGATGGTGCTGAAGCTTTAAAAACTGGTTTGAACTATTTGCAAAGAACGAAAGAGATTGCACTTGAAACTAAAGCAACAGCAGTAAACCCTTTGTGGCATTTTTTTTTAACTATGGGACCAAACCTGTAGGAAAAGTGGTTTTAAAGAAAATAACAAATTTATAAATCAGAATTTAAAAAAATAATTTAAAAAAAAAAACGAAAGAATTATCATAGTATAATCTAATTTTGTTAAAAAAAAAAAAAAAAAAAAAAAAAAAAGACGTTAAAAAAATTGATATAAGATCAGATTCCATGGAAGAGCAATTTAAGCACCCCCTGTCTACTATACTAATAGTCTATACCGTATTGAAAGTCATTTGAAATCGGCCTTAGTCTAAAAGGAAATTTTAAATGTGATTGTGTTTAAATTTCAGTTGCTTTTTTTAGTTTTCTTGAACAAATAACAGAACAAGACCCTTGCATTCCTCCAACAGCACAACTCACCAAGAGCTGTCCTCCAACTGCTACAATACAAGTAAATTAGTATACCTGTTCTTCAAATATGACAAAGTCAATTCCACACAAGCTATAGGAGAGTGGAGTATATTAGATATAATTTACGTACCTCCTCTTTGTAATCAATTTCACCCCCGCTGTAGTCGTCGTATGCTTCATCTTCCCAGCGTTTGTGACGTCCCGTCCGGCTAAGGGTAGAATTCAAAATGGGCGCCGCTACACATCTGTCTATTTCCATAAAGAACAAAATGTGCCTTTCATTACAAAGACTATTTTTTCAATGTAAATCAAATGTCAAAGTCGATGCCAATAAAACGTCTTGTCATAAGGAATACAAATGCCTTGCCATAACCATTCAAACAGCTTGTGGCGAGGGTCGAAATTTTGGCGTGGGTTGAAATTTCTCAAATGCAAGTTAAACTTCAAGGTCAAGTTCAAAAGGTCAAAATTGTTGGTACCCAAAGGAAGGTCTTATCACAAGGAATACACCTGTGAAATATGGAAGCCCTAGTACTAACCGTAACGGTCAAAAATTTATGTTCAATGTTCAAGTTTTTTTGTGGGGGTCAAACTCTTGGTATCAAAAGGAATGTCTTGACACGGTGTAAACACCCGTGAAGTATGAAAGCCCTAGTACTAACGATTCAAAAGTAATGGTCAAGGTTAAATTATTTTAAAAGTGGGTCAAACTCTAAGTTCAAGGTCAAAAGATAAAAAAAAAATACACCCAATTAAAGGTCTTGTCACAGTGAATACATGTGTAAAGTACGAAAGCCCTAGCCTAGCACCAACTTTTCAAACTGAAAAGTTATGGCTATGACTAAAGTTTGAAAATTTTATATATATATATAGGCTATATAATAGGCCTATAAAAGCACAATGGCTACAGTTCTGCAGCAAGGTCAAGGTAATGAGATAAAACATATTTGAATGTCTTTTATTGAGGAAAACGCTTAATATGAAATAAGAAAACACTAGCTCCGGTATGGACAAGAATAAACTTTGGTAATTTTTTTTAAAAAATGTGTTAAGCTTCAAGATCAAGATGTCAAATATTTTGGTACCCAAAGAGATGTCTTGTCACAACATTGAACTAGGCTACACATGTGAAATATGAAAGTCCTACAGTCAACTCCAACCAATAAAAACTTGTCGGGAAGGTCTCACACAAAGGACGAGCACCTACTGCGACACAGGACCATGGAAGTTGCAATGCAGATCTATCTCCCAAAGATGGATTTTCGAGCTTAGGCTATTTAAATACATGTAACGGTAGGCCCTATTCCTTGTTTGCCTAATACATGCATCGATATCCCTCATGTGGTGTACATGCGTCCAATCATGCTCTGAACCACGTTTAACATAGATTGTGAATTCTTTTAAAGAATGGTTCAACATACCTTGTAGGCCTAAAAGAAAACACAACACAATAAGGAAACTGATGATGTAAACTGAATGCGTCATATCATGTGCGTTGACGCAAGCGTTTATTGTGACGTCATGTTTTAGCGCTTCCTTTGCAAAAGTAACCTGTGGCTTGATGTCACAGACACTTGTTTCGGAAATAAATTTTTAACCCATGGTATAATTATTATACTAAAGATTAAAAGATTATTTCCGAAACAAGTGCCTGTGCTTGATGTCTATGCAAAATAACTAAGGCCGTCTAAATAAAATAAATTAATATTTGTTTGCCCTATCCCTACTCAGGGTAAAATTATAGGGTCGGTAGGTACGTGGGAATATCTTTCTTCCGGAAAAATTCAAAATATTTGTTGACATGAAAAAAAGAATTAAAAAAAGCAACCATGTCCAGGATAAAAACAAGATGTGTTTGTGAAACACTATGCGCCCGGCGGCAACAAAGTTCGAAAACAGCTATTTTTAGCATATAGGTCAACTTCAAGGTCACAAAGTCATTGACCTTGGTGTCATTGGAAAGAACTTGATTAGTGGAATAAGCATACCAAATATGAAGTCTCTATATCTCTCATGGTTCAAAAGTTATGGTTAAGGTTCAAAAAGCTATTTTTAGCATATAGGTCACAATCAAGGTCACAAGGTCATTGACCGTGGTGTCATTTGAAAGAGCTTAATGAGTGAAGTACGCATACCAAAAATGAAGTCTATATCTTTCATGGTTCAAAAGTTACGGCGAAGGATAACGTTTGAAGACATGAAAGCTATTTTTAGCATATAGGTCACAGTCAAAGTCACAAGGTCTTTGACCTTGGTGTCATTTGAAAGAGCTTTATTAGTGGAGTATGCATACCAAATTTAATATGAAGTTTCTGACTTTCATGGTTCAAAAGTTATGGCGAAGGTTAAAGTTTGCAGACAAAGAGATAGACAGGACAACAAGAGGCCCATGGGCCACGTTGCTCACCTGAGCAATGTGGCTAGGAAAAAAGCAGAAATCAGTTTATTATTGAAAAGTTTAAACCCAATAGTGGTCCCATCCAATCCTTAAAAGGGAGAGGGTATGATATGAACAAACTTGAATCTACACTAACTAAGGATGCTTGCATATTTCTTTGACTACCTTTGGCTTTATTGCCCTTTACATTTGAACTTACATTGTGGTCCCGCCCTACCCCAAGGGGTCATAACTTGAAGAAAATTGAATCTACACTACCTGAGAATGTTTCCATATGAACAGAGGATGCTTCCGTATAAATACGATCATTCATGCCTTTGCTATTCTTGAGAAGAAGATTTTTAAAGAATTTCCCTATATATTTCTATGTAAAACTTCGATTGCTCATTGTGGCCCCGCCCTACCCCAGGGGGTCATGATTTGAACAAATTTGAATCTACACTACCTGAGGACGCTTCCACATTAGTTTCATCTTTGCTGGCCCAATGGTTTTGGAGAAGATTTTTTTAAAAAATATTCCTATATATTCCTGTGTAAAACTTTGACCAGCCATTGTGGCCCCGCCCTACCCCCGGGGGTCATGATTTGAACAAACTACACTACCTGAGGATGCTTCCCTATAAGTTTCATCTTTCCTGGCATAGTGGTTCTTGAGAAGAAGATTTTTAAAACATACGATCAAATTTTCATCATTTCTGAATTATCTCCCCTTGAATAAGGGCGTGGCCCTTCATTTGAACAAATTTGAATCCTCTTCACCTAAGAATATTTTTTGCTAAGTTTGGTTGAAATTGGCCCAGTGGTTCTTGAGAAGAAGTCGAAAATGTGAAAAGTTAACGACGACGACAACGACGACGACAGACAACGGACAAATTTTGATCAGAAAAGCTCACTTGAGCCTATGGCTCAGGTGAGCTAAAAACAATATACGCCCCGGATCTATCGATCCAGGCGCATAATAAGACTTAACAATTTTAGTCAGTCTGTCGGGAGAGGGAAACCAAACCATTTTTTAAAATTAAGATGGCCTCAGTAGCAAATATTGCATGTGACATTTTAATGTTACATCCTGGTGGAGTGTCTCATATTTCCTTTTCTTTCGGATATTTGGCTTCTTTTTTTATTTAAAATCATTTATTGTCCAAAGAGTGGGGGAGGGGGGGGATTAATCACTGATCCACTAAATATGCCTTATAAACACACTGTATATTTTGTTTTCATTCAGTATGTAACATGGTTGTATGCCAACATTTTGCATGCATGTTTGCTGAATAAATAAATAAATTGAAAAATTATAATTTCTAAATTAACTATTTCTAAAAATAAATAAATGTATAAGCATAGAATTTAGCCTCACCCCACCCACCCCCCCCAAAAATTATTCCATTGATTCAACAAATATATTATAAAATCGTTTTCGTTGATTCAACAATATATGTATTTATTTTACTAATTTTATTTATCATTAATTTGTTTCCTTATTGATGTATTGTCTTTTTCTTTTAACGGCTTCAGTCCAATATTTATTGATTCATATCAGAGTGCATGTAGATCTAAAGTGCAACAGAAGGTCAGATGATAACTATTCACTTAATTTCTATTTATATAACTATTATAAACACTAAGCTAAGACTCTTGTCTGAGTTTGACAATTATGATATTTAAATAGCATTGATCACTGTTTCCTCCTCCTGCCCCCCGTGTGTGTGGCCCGAGGGATGGGTCACGTGACTAAAGCTAAGGTGATGCTGATCGGGGACACGGCTGTCGGGAAAACCTCCATCCTCGTCCGCTTCACAAAGGAAGTCTTCGATCCCAATTTTATCGCCACCATAGGTAAATATATAATCTCACCAAATGCTTCATTCATTATCAGTATAAAATATGCACTATGATACCATCACAAATATCTACCGGCTATAGGTAAAAGTATATATATAAATTATATGTACAGCTGTATTACGCAACTGAGAAAGCCGAATTTAAATTATTATCATACCGATCGAAATCAGCATTGTTATATTTTATTTAATCAAAAAAGTTTTTATATATGAACATGTAAAAAATATATTAAAAAAATAAATTGAAGTGTGTGTGATAGAAAAATTAAAGGCTCTAATTACTAAGTAATTGTTTTAAGACAGAGCAATACAAACCTACAAACAAACAAACAAACAGCGTATTTTTACATAATTTAGTCTATAAAAGTCCCCTGCAACTGCCAACCTCTTACAGATAATCTTTCATACACAAATTACCATGGCCGAAGAAACCGAGGAGGGGAAGCAAAGGGGTGCTATTATATGGTTGTGTCCCAACAATAATACCATCTGATGACTTTTTAGCTATTTTAGAAGCCCCCCCCCCCTCCAATGAAAATGGTAAATTAAGCTTCCAAAATCTACTCAAACATTCAAATGAAAACGTGGTTTTTTCAGATCTACTATATGATATCATTTACGTCCCATTACTGTATTCTTAGTATCTTTATTAAGGTGTAACAGTAAATCACTGAAGATAGATACTAGATACTACATTCTTTGAAAAGCAGGTAAACACATTGTGCTTTATTTTACTAGAAAAAATGCTCAGATATTTTATGTTATTTAAAATTAGCACGATAAGAAGATACGATGCAGTCCAAAAAAAAAAATAAAGATCATGCAATACAATTCATATATTGGTTTTTACCACACTTAACAAATTCGACTGCTACTTTCGGTTTCGTGATTGTCAGTGACTCAGGTGCGCGTGACCTAGATAAATGAATACGCGGAACTCCTTTAAGTTTTACCATGCAATTCCGTAATAACCCAAAAGGATAACCAAAATATACGGAAGTACCTTTTAGTGACGTCAACAGAAATAATGTTTTCGAGGGTGGTTCCGTTGTGAATTTTATAGAAGATGGCAAAAACATATGATTACCTGTTTAAACTCTTATTAATAGGGGACAGTGGTGTTGGAAAAACATGTGTGCTTTTTAGGTTTTCTGAGGATGCTTTTAATTCAACGTTTATTTCAACAATAGGTAATCAATTCCATCCAGTCTGAAGAAGGGGGGATGGCTGTGAAACTTTTTGTAGTTTCACTATATTTGATTCACATATCAGTTAAAAAATTATAGTTATTATTTTTATACTTTCAGTTAGTTTTTTTTTTACAAACCATTCATTTGCTATGGATTCAATCTTCCGTGTATATTGTGTACATCACATGATCTGTTACTTTTTATTTGTATTTTTATACCGTTTGGGAAACGTAATGTTTTCTAAGTGTAAGTCAGTTTTATCATTACCACGATGATATTGTCCTTTTATGTGAATTCAGCAACACTTCATGTGCTTGATGAATTCTGTCAGTATGTTTCCAAAGGCTCAAATCAGACATGGTCAGCAATCTTGAAGCAGTTATATATATCCACTATTTGTACATTTATAGACAGTACAAATACCTGTGTACTTCCCTATTACATGTACACTGTGTCATATCTACAAAGAGAACATACCTGACTAGTAGTGTAAGGTTCCCATGTTTGATTCCCAGGCAAGCCATACATTTTCTCCTTTCCTTTACATACTTTGCTTGGTGCCGTCGACCACCCTTGGACTCCCAATGAAAGTCCTGCCATGGCAGTTGTGTCTTCAAGGATGGAATGTAATGGTTTGGCTGCGGATATCTGCGTGGGTAGCTTAGTTGTTAGAACACCTGACAAGTGATGCAGGGTTCCTGGGTTCGATTCCAGTCCAGCCAATTTTCTCCTTTCCTGTTACATTCATAACATCTTTATCAGTATTTTGGACAAGAAATATAGTTACAGACAGTTTGAATATAAACTTGTGACACTTGGAACAGTATCTTATTGATTCTTAACAAAACCTCATAGTCCAAGCTTGTAGCCCCAATACAACTCATCTATACTGCATCAAGCCTGGTAAACTTCATGCATACTTCATACAGAATCATTTTTTTCAGAGAAATTAGCTGAAATTTTGAAGTTTTTCATATTATATATTATAATTAGGGAATAACTGTCAGATTTTTTGATTTCATGATGTGATCAATCGATTGGATTGCGTGATAATTTGCATGAGGCGTTTATGCATAAAATTATCACGCAAGCCAATTGATTGATCATCGTCATGAAATCGGAAAATCGGACTTTTATTCCATATATTTACATGGTATTGATTCCGCAAATCCACATGCTAGAAGCCCTGCTTCTTGTCTCTATTTGTCCCGCCCTGCCCGTAATTTTTTTAACTGCGCCTGTCGATGAACCAGTACATTGATGGAGAATTAAAGTACATTAAATATTTGTAATTTTATCTCGAACAAAGACATTGGAAATGTAAATATTGATGTTTCGAACTTTGGATTTGTCTCGGTGGGTCCATTCAAGTGGTTATATCAATTGAAGGTTGTGCAGTTGTTCAGTTTACATAATAGATGAAAGATTTAGGCTGTTCAATTAATTTAGAGTCAATGCAATCTATAAAAACTTGGTCATTGAACAGGAAGCATCTCAAATGTATAGAAGGAGTTATATTTACCAAGACACTACAACATCAGAAGTATTGTTTACTTACATGTAACTCAGACATTAATGTACAGCTTTTATTGTTAAAAAATATGCCCAGTACTTAATTATAATTCAGTTTTATTTTCCTTTTTTACAGGTATTGATTTTAAAATAAGGACAATAGAATTAGATGGTAAAAAAATTAAGTTACAAATATGGTGAGTACTCGAAGTATATTGTTCTTTCACTTTGCACATTCTAGAGAAATTTCAAAGCACTTCTTTTATTTTAATGTAATCTTGAATGATTACGTAATGAGTCTTTATATTCTTTAGGGACACTGCGGGACAAGAAAGGTTTCGTACCATCACCACAGCCTACTACAGGGGTGCCATGGTAAGCTTTAATGCTAGACCAGTGTGGTTACATTGCAAAAGTTTGAACTTGTTTTCAAACATTTAAAATGAAATCAACTTTGAACTTGTTTTCAATCTTATATTCATACAGTGTTTTTCTTGAAACAAAATTACAGTAGATAAGAGATAAGAGAGAGTTTCTCTTCAGAATATAGTCATCCCCCCCAAAAAAAAATTGTGATATATTGCCACTTGTTTTCATAAGTATACTGGTGCACCTAACATCTTATAAATATGTTAATTAAGTACCCACTCAAAATAAAATACTTCCTTTACCTTTGGGTTAAAGGAGACTAACTGTACTGGTTATAAAAGGAAGGTTAAAAACTTTCTTCATTTCATTTTTGAGCATGCTGACATGGTCTGACAACTAGCAAAATCGTTGGACCTTGATATTGTTGCTTAATGTTGGCTTAGGGGAAGGTAATAGAAATTAGCCTCTCTAAGCTACTTGAAGTTGTCTCTAAGCGAATGTTTAAAAAAATTCTTGCAGTCAGACTGTAATTAAAAGTAGGACATTGAACAAATTCATCTTTACAAAGTATCAATGATATTTTTTATTCCATCTTATAAAAATAATTAGCTTGATGAATAGAAGAAAAGCTACACAGAAAGTGTCAATTATACTCTAGGTTAAAGTTCATTAAAGATAATAACATTTAGCCAACAGAGGCTATAAGTTTAACATTTTACATTAGACTGACAAAAGATTAAAAGAGGGGTACATGTGATTAATGCAACTTATGAATTTTTCAGGGAATCATGCTTGTGTATGACATCACAAATGAGAAATCTTTCGAAAATATCCGAAACTGGATTCGCAATATTGAGGAGGTGAGTTTGTCCAGAGTTTTATTGACAATCATTTGTTTCAATGTTCCTGCTCTATAGCATTAAGATAATACGGCCTTGTTTTAAATGTCGTGTGACTGTTGGTGTCAGATGATGTGTATGGTTTGTGTTTTGTTTTACAGCATGCCTCTCAGGATGTTGACAAGATGATTCTGGGAAACAAGTGTGACATGAACGACAAAAGAGTCGTCTCCAAGGAGAAGGGCGAGTCAGTAAGTAGATCACAGAATCAGGTCATGTACTGACATGTAGGTACTATAAAGTAATAGCAAACTTTTTTGGTGCTCCAAATCGAGAAGCATAATTTAGAATTTCTGTTAATGAAATTTCATTGTTCAGTATATATCATTTCTACTTGTACATGTACTCATTAAATGCACAAATTCAAAGTCAAGCATTTTTAATCTGTGCTTACTCTCTTGTACAATGTCATCTTGTTGCGTAATTGGAAGCTTTTTGTTTACACATATATTTTGTTTGATAGCTGGCAATAGAACATGGTATTAAGTTTATGGAGACCAGTGCCAAAGCCAGCATTAATGTAGAGGAAGCCTTCTTTACATTAGCCAGGGACATCAAGGCTAAAATGGACAGAAAATTGGTCAGTTTCATTATGTATCACATCACATGGATTCATTGGCAGGGATAATTTTCAAGCATACTTATTCGGAAAATGTTTATAAAACATTATTTCTGACTCAGATTTAACTTTTTTAGGTCACCTGAGTAACTCAGGTGACCTATTGCTATCCGTTTTCGTCCGTTGTCGTATGTCGTGCATCGTGTGTTAACATTTGAACATTTTCAGCTTCTTCTCTGAAACCACTGAACCAATTTCAACCAAATTTGGTATACAGCATCTATGGGTGAAGGGGAACAAAAATTATGAATTTTATGGTCCCAGCACCCCTGGGGCCTGAGGGGTGGGGCCAAAACCACTAAAATTATTGCAATCTTTAAAAATCTTCTTCTTTACTCCTGGACATCAAGCAGGCAAACTGTTGGCATGAATGTAATGAGCATTGAGTCCTCTACCAAAATTTTGAAATTCATGGCCCCAGGGTCAGGGGTTCTAGTGCTAGGGCGGGGCTATATAGATTATATAGTGAAAATGCATGATTTCTTTGAAAATCTTCTTCTCTGCTCCTGGGTATTAAATAAACTAACTAAGTACAAAGTTATGATGAGCAAGAGTGCCTCTTCCAAAATTGTGAATTTTATGGCCCCAGGGTCAGGTGTTCTGGTGTTAGGGCGGGGCTCTATTGATTATATAGTGAAAATGCATTTATTCTTTGAAAATCTTCTTCTCTGATTCTGGGTTTTAAATAAACTAAATAAGTACATTAGTTATGATGATCAAGAGTGCCTTTTTCAAAATTGTGAATTTTATGGCCCCAGGGTCAGGGGTTCTGGTGTTAGGGCGGGGCCCTATTGATTATATAGTGAAAATGCATTAATTCTTTGAAAATCTTCTTCTCTGCTCCAGGGTATAAAATAAACTATGTAAGTACATAATTATGTTGAGCAAGAGTGCCTCTTCCAAAATTGTGAATTTTATGGCCCCAGGGTCAGGGGTTCTGGTGTTAGGGCAGGGCTCTATTGATCATATAGTGAAAATAAATTAATTCTTTGAAAATCTTCTTCTCTGCTTCTGGGTATTAAATAAACTATGTAAGTACATAGTTATGTTGAGCAAGAGTGCCTCTTCCAAAATTGTGAATTTTGTGGCCCCAGGGTCAGGTGTTCTGGTGTTAGGGCGGGGCTCTATTGATTATATAGTGAAAATACATTAATTCTTTGAAAATCTTTCCTTTGCTCCTGGGTTTTATGCCAATGATCTAAGAATTTATATTTATGATGAAGAAAGGTGCATCTAGCAAAGTGGTTTTATATCCCCCCCTTCCTGGGTCGGGGGGGTATATAGTCTGAAAATAAATTAATGCTTTGAAATCTGTTTTTTGGTATTAATCAACCATTTCATGATAAAATTTGCAAAATTTTGAAATATGTGGCCCCAAGGTCAGTGGTTCTTTTGGGATGATGTGCACAACTGGTTATAAAGCGGAAGTGCATTTTCTCTTTGTTACTGTGATCTGCCTTTGGATATTAAGTAAATAGAGTAAGCATGCTAAGTCTATAATTATGATAAGCAATGGTGCCTCTTTTAAAATTGTGAATTGTGAATTTCATGGCCTCTGGTTTAAAACACAAACCAAATTTAATTGTTTGAAAGTTGTTGCACAATACTCAGGTGACCTATAAGGCCCATGGGCCTCTTGTTTAAATTATCTTCTCTGTGAATAAATGTCTTTAAATGTTTCTTTCGTATTTGTTGTATACATAATTTATTTTTATTCCAGGAGTCCTCAAATGCTCAGGCAAAGAATGCTGGTGCAATAACACCTGGAAAAACACAGGCCAAGAAGTCGGGCTGGAGGTGCACCATATTGTGATGTCAGCTGGCATTGTGATAGGTTTTTTAAATTGTAAACTGATATTTTATTGGCTGTTGGTGAAACAGAAGAAGCTGTTGGTCAATTTTCAACATGTGATATTGGACCCTGCAACCAATCAAAGGGTACAGTATTCATCCAATCAGAGAGAGGGGACTCTGTGAGACTTTTGTGATTATACATCATTAACCACATTGCTGTATATTTTTGCTTGATTGTCAGGAGAAAGAATAAGATATTGGCCAACAGTTTCATATTTATATTTTTTAATATTCCTGTCAAGTGTACATCATATTGACATATTCCAATGCATGGTGTACTTACGATATTGCTAATAACCCTAACGACTCTGTAACAGAACTTTAAGTAAAGCAGTGTCATTTGTATATAACTGTTGTAAAACAGAGGATTAAAAAAAAAATTGTGTCACAATTCTCGAGATGCATTATGCATAAAATGTAAGGAGAAATACTTATCAGTAATTTTTTTTATTTGAATCATGCTTTGTTTGTTGGTAGAGTTTTGTTAATTGTTTCATGTAATCCTAAACAAGGTGATTATCCGAGATTCTTCCTTGACCAACATTATCCCAGGTTTATCTGCAGTAATTTATTAAATCCTTGTTTTCCAAGTCACTTCTGCTGTTTAACACCACAATATACTGCTTTTAACTGGTACTGATGTTAAAATTTAACTTTTTTAATTTTAGAATTTGGAATTGGAAATTATACTTTACAGAATTTAGAGTAAACTTGTTTCTGTGTAAGAAGTCTACAGAGCTTGGGTGACTGATCAATTATAAATGTATGTTGTAATTTCTGATCTGAATTCTTTAGCCACTACCAGAGACATTAAGGATGTACAACCTGTGGCCTTCAGATGTTGAATTATCCACAAGCCTGAACCATTTATGTGCATTTTTTGTTTAAAGTCTAACTGTACAACAAGTTAACAATTGCTTGCGATCTGTAAGGCCTGTTAAGGTATGGCCGCCTCAGGTGGTCTTTTGTCAATAGAAATAATAAAGCTTATTGATAAACTTGATTTGTTTCTTTATAATGGGATATGAAGGTATAAGGCTGGGCCCCAGTATAATGAAACATACTTAGACTTAAGTCAAAATTTCAATCACAGTCATGTGAATTGATTAATGAATTAAATATCTGAATTTGCAGGAAACAATGCTTTTGTGAAGCAATATTGGAAAATATTTTAATTTTTGTCTGATTGACTTCTAAAACATCTAATCATAAAATAAAGACTTTGACTTAGGCTTAAGATGTTTTATGATCCCTGGGTCCTGGTCACTTATAAATGGTCTATATAATCTGTAATACTAGAATTGCAAGCTGAAATGAAATTTTAATGAGGAGATACCCAATTGCAAAATAAAGTTCTTTCTATTAAAAGTGATTTCCAGTATCCATTTCTAATTGACACAGTCTGAGGTATGTTAGCAGTAATTCTCAATGTCTTACCTCTACAAGAGCTTGTTCAAAAAGCTTAAGAATTGGTCAATATTCTGTTAAAATGTTGGGTACTTATTTTAATCATGACTTGAGTACTGTATGCAGGGTTATTTTCGCCCCGTTTTATTTTCACGCTTGCAAACAATTTTGTCCTGTCTTAAACTCACCCAGTCACAGTTTTGTTTAGGACATTATACTGTATTCTTTGAATCCGCCCTGTTTTAAAATCACCAATCGAGTGTAGGGCGAAAGGAGCAAAAATTTCCCTGTATACAGTACTAGGTCTATGCATTAACCTGGAAATGAGATTCCGAAACTTATTAATACTCTACGATGATCACACTTGTAAAGAACCAAAGCCAGGGTCCTTAAATATAGGTCACAGGGAGGGTCTGGGTGGAATACCAGTAGCCCCTTCCCCAAAAACTCAAGTGTTTGTATACGTTTTTTAACAATAAGAATCGATCTTCCATGACAAATCTCAACTCGTTCCCAGCTGATAAAACTTAAAAGATTTGACGTACAACAGACTTCTTTCTTAGCAACTATCCCACTATTTTGAAAGAGGCACCGTTGCTCTGCTACATGTACAAGGGGACAATATTAAATTTTAGAGAGAATTTAATATGTATTTTCACTATATGATAATTTGAACCCCACCCAACTCTAGAACTCCTGGGCTTCGATTTCACAATTTTGATATAGAGGCCTCAAGGCTTTCTCATTTCATTTAAGAAAACGTACCTCTCTGATGTTCAGGAGTAAGAATATTTTTAAGAATACATGTAGCATTATTTTTATTTGTATTGGTCCCATCTCCCTTTCAGACACAATAGCATAGGACCATGGAAAAAATAAATTTTTGTTTCTGTTCTCTCATAAGTGTCTTAATTGCTTATAATTAACAGAGCAGACGAAAAGATTTTTAAGTTATTAAAATGCATCTTTAATAAATAATAAGCATTCAGCAACATTGTATTATAAATGTACAAGCATTGTACTGTTTATCAAGCCTGTATAAATACATATACATTTAGATCACTATCACAAGAAATTATTTATTTGAAAGCCAATTAAAGCCTTCACTGAAAAAAACATAGGTAATCAGAGATTACAGAGCTCACCTCAATGAATGTTGTCTTTAAGTAAGGCAAATTAAGTCACACAATTAACCAACAAAAAGTGTACAACCAAAAATGCAAAATTTATGCAATTTTGATACTTTGGAATAGACCTATATAAAAACTTAAAACTAGTTCTTCATCATGAAAATGTAATTAAAATCCAGCATCTGAAGCAAGATTGAGAGTTTTCATCCCTTAATGCATCATTTGTGCAACTTTGGTTTATATAAGCCTTATAGTTTCTTGGTGATATACCTGCACCCATAACTTTTACGAGGTCTATTATCTGGAAAATGTATGTCGAATTCAGCATCTGAAGCAAGTCCATTAGTCTGCATCCTAAGATGTATCATCCATGCAAGTTTGTTCAACATAAAGCTCAAAGTTACTTGGAAACGAAACCTGTATAAAAAACTAACCTTTTCACTAATCCGGAAAATGTAGGTCAGATTCAGCTTCTGAAGCCAGCCTCGTAGAATGCACCCTTAGATGTACCATCCATGCAAGTTTGGTCATTATAGGCTCAAAGTTACTTGGAAATGAATCCTGCACCATAAACTTTAACCTGTTTACTCAACCGGAAAATGTAGGTCAGATTCAGCATCCGAAGCAAGTCTGGTAGAATGCATCCTAAGATGTACCATCCAGGCAAGTTTAGTCATTATAGGGTTCATAGTACCTTGGAAATGAAACCTGCACCAAAAATTTTAACCTGTTCACTCAACCGGAAAATGTAGGTCAGATTCAGCATCCGAAGCAAGTCTTGTAATATGCATCCTAAGATGTACCATCCATGCAAGTTTGGTCATTATATGTCTCATAGTAACTTGGAAATGAAACCTGCACCAAAAACTTTAACCTGTTCACTCCACCGGAAAATGTAGGTCCGATTCAGCATCCGAAGCAAGACTGGTAGTATGCATCCTAAGATGTACCATCCATGCAAGTTTGGTCATTATAGGGCTCATAGTATCTTTGAAATGAAACCTGCACCAAATACTTTAACCTGTTCACTCAACCGGAAAATGTAGGTCAGATTCAGCATCCGAAGCAAGTCTGGTAGTATGCATCCTAAGATGTACCATCCATGTAAGTTTGGTCAACATAGGGCTTATAGTTACTCGGAAATGAGACTACACCAAAAACTGCACCAAAAATGTTAACCTGCACCAAAAACATTAACCTGGTCATTCCTTTGCTGAAATTGCAGCATCTGAAACTTTGACTGGTACAATGAAACACATTAGAAACATCTTTCATGCATGTCCAATCAATATAGGACATAGAAGTACTTAAAAAGAAAACTGCTCCAAAAAACTTAACCTTAACCCGGGACGCCGACGCCGACGCCGAGGGTATCACATAAGCTCCCCCCAACTTCGTTGAGGTGAGCTAAAAAGAATACACAACCTTTACATGTTATACAATAATTCCAATCACCACTCTTACAGTATACAAAATTAAAACAACAGGGATAATCTTGAAAAAGAAAAGGTGTTCTATTGTCATTACTCATAGTTGCCTTTCTAAGGAGGAAAAAAGCCTTTCTAAATAAAAATAAACCAGAGGCACCATGGCCACAACACCTGAGTAACTTTGACCCAGCTCTTCTTCCCCAGACTTTGCCCCTTTGTAGTATCTATTGTGGCCCCATTTTACCCCTAGGGTCATGATTTCAACAATTCAGAATTTACACTACCCCAGAATACTTCCAAATAAGTTTTTTGGCATTTGTAGCTCAGTTGTTCCTGAGAAGAAGATTTTTAAAGAATTTCCCTGTACATTTCAGTGTTAAATCTGTATTCGCTATTAAGGCCCAATCCTACCCCCTGGGACGTGATTTTAACAAATTAAAATCTATACTACCCAAGGATGCTTCCATATAAGTTAATGCATTTCTAGCCAAGTCAATCTTGACAGAAAGATTTTTTTTAATGACCCAATCCTATTTTTGTCTTTTCTTCATTATCTCCCCTTGAAATGGGGTTTGGCTCTTCATTTAAAAAATTTCAACTCCCCTCCACCCAAGGATGCTTTGTCCCAATTTTTGTTAAATTTGGCATGGTAGTTCTTGAAAAGAAGTTCAAAATATGAAAAGTTTACAGACAGATGGATGTATGATGGGCAATGGGCCATCAGAAAAATCACTTGAGCTTTCAGCTCAGGTGATATTAAAAAAAAATGTCAATGCGAAAGATATTGTTTTTTGTTCATCAGGGATACTCAATTCATCATATTCATTTTCAAAATGAATTGAAAATATTAAATAAGATACAAAGAAAATGTAGTTAATAAAGAAATCAATATGTAACATGCTTTTTCCCCAATAAAATCTCCCCATTTCAGTGTTTGAGCATGAAGTGTTATTATACATGTAAATTCAAATAGGAATATGGTATACATATATATTAAGAAATGATTGTTGCCCTTGAAAACACCTTAAGAGCTATGTGATAAAAACATTTCAGAATTCAGGAATGTACAATTTTTTGTACATTTCACAGTTTATGTACATGAATTATATTTGTACTGATAATATTTTACATAAAGTCAGTTCGTACATTGTAATACTAAATTCAAAATGATATGCTGATTCTGTCTATAAAGTTGAGACAAAGCTTTTGTTCAGTAAACAAGTTAGCAGGCACACTTAGAACTGGCTGTGTTTTGTGAGGAGTTTCTATCTGGAGGCAGTCGGAAGCTTTCAGCAGACTCGTTAGGATTTTGTACCTGTGAGGACTGATCCAGGTCTATAGAGTATAGTCCACTGTTAGGGGAGGTCTCGTATAGCTTCACCAGCTGCTGGGCCACCTGGAGGAAGGCCTCCTCAATACCTGTTATCAAAACAAGACGTCAGTCAGTGGTAATGCTACTTCCAACCTTAGAATTTTACATCTACTATCCCCCCACCCACCCTACCAGTAGTCACCTGAATATACACATGAATCTTTAAGATGCCTTCTATTATTTTGAGATTTATAGGTTTACTTCATGTTGATATACATTTCAAATTTACAAATGTTACCTGAATATGCTCAAATTTAAATACTGTAAATCACTTTTTATTCGCGAGAACTTTATTTTCGCGTAATTACGCGAGAGAGTGTGCTCGAAAAAATTTCATTCTTGCGTATAATAGTATTCCATAAGATTATATAGAGCAATAACCACAATCCGTGAAAATTTTGTCTTGCTAATCAAGATTCATTGACTATCTCGCGAAAATAAGGTGTCGCGAAAATTTAGTGATTTACGGTACATGTATCATATAAAACTGTTTCAATATGACATGTACACTCAAAACATGGATACAAGAAAATTTATATCTAAATCTTGATCTTTTTTCAAGAGAAGAGATGCCCTTTGATCCAATGCAATCATTGTATATTATAGTATGGACATCCAATGTTTCTACATTACAAAGTAATGTCTATGGGCACAAAAGGGATTGAAGAGATGGGTTCCTATTTAAACCATCCAAACATTCCGTTTAAAGGGAGGGTATATGAAAACCTACATATTGAACTTGGATGAATTACAAGCTGTTTTTTACAGGCTAAAAAGGCATGCAATCTTTATAAGATTTTGTATTTTCTAACCTTGCGTATACCATTCCTATAAAGCTACATGTTTATATTTCAGTAAAAGAGTGAAGGAGGCCACAGAATGATATGTACTTAATATAGGTATTACATGATATGTAAGATATCTGTGTACCTATGTTCTTGAGAGCTGAGGTTTCGTGGAACAGGGCCCCGATTGATTCTGCATATTCTTGAGCTTCTTTGGTGTTGACCTGTCGACTTTCTTCAAGGTCATTCTTATTTCCCACAAGACACATCACTGAAAAACAACAATGTACAGTGTACACTGGAAATTGAAATTGTCTTTACTTTAAATTGAATAAATTGACTCTGCTTTGAATTGAATGCATGTAGTTGAATCTGCTTTGATACACCATTATAGGTATCATTTTCTTGAACTTTGCATTAATCAATTTAATTGTTACATATAATGTCAACTAAGCAAAGTTAATTAAATATATAAAATGAATTCAAAGAGTTAACCACATATTTATTTCTTTTTCATGTCAACAATACAAGATTATTTTAAATTTTCCTACAATGATTTGATGATTAATAGTTCACTTACCAATGGGTGTATCAACATTCTTTTTCAGTTCTGAAATACATGTGCTTTGTGTTACAATCAACTAAACAATTGAAGTCCAGCTACCTTTAATTTTTATATTGAATGAAAATAAAATACTTATAGCTAAGTCCTTGACAAAAGCTTTACTGCCAATTATTAGAGGAGAAACTTCTAAAAAATTTTGTTTGTAGGTATAGACAGAGAAACAGAGAGACTCCCTACATGTTGATTAATAATTAAGTTCCTCTCTTCATTCACAGGGTAAAAACAGTAAACATATACCGGTAATTATTAACTACAGCATAACTACGTGTACAAATTTGATGATTCAGGTTTCGAGAATATAATTGCTGAGTGTAACATTATGTTATTACTTACCGCTGACCCAGTCTTTGAGTGTGACATTATGTTATTACTTACCGCTGACCCAGTCTTTAAGTTTGACATTATGTTATTACTTACCACTGACCCAGTCTTTGAGTGTGTTTGACATTATGTTATTACTTACCGCTGACCCAGTCTTTGAGTTTGACATGATTATGTTATTACTTACCGCTGACCCCGTCTTTGAGTGTGACATTATGTTATTACTTACCACTGACCCAGTCTTTGAGTGTGTTTGACATTATGTTATTACTTACCGCTGACCCAGTCTTTGAGTGTGACATTATGTTATTACTTACCACTGACCCAGTCTTTGAGTGTGTTTGACATTATGTTATTACTTACCGCTGAATCAGTCTTTGAGTGTGACATTATGTTATTACTTACCACTGACCCAGTCTTTGAGTGTGACATTATGTTATCACTTACCTGTGACCCAGTCTTTGAGTGTGACATTATGTTATTACTTACCACTGACCCAGTCTTTGAGTGTGTTTGACATTATGTTATTACTTACCGCTGACCCAGTCTTTAAGTTTGACATGATTATGTTATTACTTACCACTGACCCAGTCTTTGAGTGTGACATTATGTTATTACTTACCGCTGACCCAGTCTTTGAGTGTGACATTATGTTATTACTTACCGCTGACCCAGTCTTTGAGTGTGACATTATGTTATTACTTACCGCTGACCCAGTCTTTGAGTGTGACATTATGTTATTACTTACCGCTGACCCAGTCTTTAAGTTTGATATTATGTTATTACTTACCACTGACCCAGTCTTTGAGTGTGTTTGACATTATGTTATTACTTACCGCTGACCCAGTCTTTGAGTGTGACATTATGTTATTACTTACCACTGACCCAGTCTTTGAGTGTGTTTGACATTATGTTATTACTTACCGCTGATTCAGTCTTTGAGTGTGACATTATGTTATTACTTACCACTGACCCAGTCTTTGAGTGTGACATTATGTTATTACTTACCGCTGACCCAGTCTTTAAGTTTGACATTATGTTATTACTTACCACTGACCCAGTCTTTGAGTGTGTTTGACATTATGTTATTACTTACCGCTGACCCAGTCTTTGAGTTTGACATGATTATGTTATTACTTACCGCTGACCCAGTCTTTGAGTGTGACATTATGTTATTACTTACCACTGACCCAGTCTTTGAGTGTGTTTGACATTATGTTATTACTTACCGCTGACCCAGTCTTTGAGTGTGACATTATGTTATTACTTACCACTGACCCAGTCTTTGAGTGTGTTTGACATTATGTTATTACTTACCGCTGATTCAGTCTTTGAGTGTGACATTATGTTATTACTTACCACTGACCCAGTCTTTGAGTGTGACATTATGTTATCACTTACCTGTGACCCAGTCTTTGAGTGTGACATTATGTTATTACTTACCACTGACCCAGTCTTTGAGTTTGACATTATGTTATCACTTACCACTGACCCTGTCTTGGAGTTTGACATTATGTTATTACTTACCGCTGACCCAGTCTTTGAGTTTGACATTATGTTATTACTTACCGCTGACCCAGTCTTTAAGTTTGATATTATGTTATTACTTACCACTGACCCAGTCTTTGAGTTTGACATGATTATGTTATTACTTACTACTGACCCAGTCTTTGAGTATGACATGATTATGTTATTACTTACCGCTGACCCAGTCTTTAGTGTGACATGATGTTATTACTTACCACTGACCCAGTCTTTGATGTCATAGAAACTGTCCTCCGAGGTGATGTCATAAATCAACATAGCTGCATTGGCCTTCCTGTAGTACATGGGAGCCTACAATACACACAGGGTCACCTTATCTACAGTGTACTGATCATGTTTATGTTTGATATTTTTTACAAATCATAATTAATAACTCTGGTTTTAAGATGCTATTTGATTGGAGAGAGAAATGTGTTTGTACACATATTCTATAAATCGTGTTGCATATGTCATTTATAATGTCATACATGAAAAATGTATACAGTCTGCTTGCGATTACATTTGAAATAGCACAATTTGACGGCTATATCTTGTTATCTTGATTCTTACTTCAAATTTGTAAAACATATATACATGTATAGATACTACCGGTACATACCATTGACCTAAACCTCTCCTGGCCCGCTGTATCCCATACTTGTAGTTTCATCCTGTAGTTGTTCAAAGTTCTGGAAATATATGCAGGAAAAAATTTAGTTCAACATGATTAAGGGCAAGATCTTTTGGAATTATGGTTATATCTCGATCTGTATATTACATGCATTTTGAATGTAAACTAGCTTATTTTAATTAGCCAATTCATTTTTAAATGCCTTTAGTACACCCCTTGGCAGGGCTCGACATTAACTTTTTTTCCTACTTGTCCATTTGGACAAGTGACCAAGATATTTACTTGTCCGAACTTCAACTTCACTTGTCCGAAAATTTTTCAAAGAATGTCTTGTTCTGTCAACTTGAAAACAATTAAAAAATTAAATGTGCTTGATTTATAAGTGCTGTTATTGATAAATAAGACAAACACATATAAAAAAAATTATCTAGACTTCTCCTGACAACAGCATAAATGTTTGCAAAGTGAATCTGTGTTACCAATCAAATATATTACAAACTCGCAAACGTCGTAAGATCCACGCCATGCATGGCGCAATATGGAGTCGAGAATATTGATCCCTATCAAGTGTGAACTTACATAGCAATTGATATCCGGATCCAAATTCAGATTTATTTACTGCTTCCGTTTTTATTCGATAAACTTTACAATAGTTGTTTTTTTTTTATTACTATTATTTGAAGACTTCTTTACAAAGAAAAATCACTTGTCCAATCGGACAAGTGCACAGCAATATTCACTTGTCCGAATTTTTTTTTCACTGGTACCGGACAAGCGGACAAGCGTTAATGTCGAGGCCTGCTTGGGCACAAATTTTATGAATTAACTGTCAAAACATCACTTTAAATAAATTTTAAGTATACATGCATATAATAACTTACAGTTTGTATGTGAAAAATGAAGCTCCAATGGTTGGACTGACTGCTTTGCTGAACATTCCCCCAACATATCGAATAACAGTACTTGTCTTTCCAACCGCTGTGATGTAAAAAAACAATTCTACATGAATGAATGTTTTAATAAAAATTAAAAGATAATAAAGGAACAGTTACAGCAGAAATTTAGAAATGTGTGGCTTTAAAATGGGCCTGAAAGCATACAAATTAATGTATGAGATCTAGAAAATCTTTTTTTTTAAATCAGGCATTTCACATATACAAAATCGTGCAACTACCATGCAACTGCACCAGCAAAATATCTTGATTTTCTTATGCGGTTTGAAGAGGACAATCTAAGTGAATAAGTGGGCTATTCAATAAAACACATCATTGCTTCACAAATGGTTCATCTGTGCTTCACATTCAGAGATTTCACTGTCATTATTAAAAATAAACTAACATAGGCCTATTTGTTTGATTTGTTTGTCCTTACCCTCTTCTGGCAATAACATAATAACACCCAGTTGCAAACTTCCCTTATTAAGCCTATGTCTCTGATTATGTAAGCAACATTCTGAAAGCTTAATATACATGTACATGTAGGGCTAGCCTGGCCTAATGTTACATGTACAATATATGAAAAATCAATGTGTACATTTGGCGTTCTTCGGATGGCTATTGGTTTCTCATCTATGGATGTTAATCATGGAATGACACACTCTACTTAAGTGTGTTAAGATATTATTAGAAAGGATATAAACCAAGCTAGATTTGCAATCATAAAAATCTACTAAATGTCAACAAAATACAAGATACTTACCTTGAGAACCCAGAACTACCACTTTCGCTTCAATGGATTTCATTTTTCTGTTCACTTCATCTTATATACAAGTCAAATTATATACAAGTCAAATTATCATAAAGCAAAACTCAAGATAATAACCGAGGAAGCAGAGAAAAAAAGTTACAGTTTTCAAACTGTCATAACGGAACTGAAAGTTCAACCACCATTTTGTGATCACGTGATTAGAATTCGAAAATAAATCCAATGAAAATATATTAGTCCTATCTTGCATTTTTTTCATTTTGCCCTTTTATGAAAGAAAGGATTAATAATTTTTATTGAAATATAATACTATATTAAAACAAGAAATTCTGCAAGCGTAACTTTCGTACTTTGCTGCAAGCATGTCGGAGGAGATAGAGAAAGCACAACTTGCCAAACCCGGTGGAGATACAATATTTGGAAAGATTGCACGGAAAGAAGTACCGTGCGAATTTATTTATGAAGACGACCAGGTATTCCTTTATTACAGATACAGAGTTTTTGAAATAAAAAAAAATTCACTGGTCAAGTGGACCAGTGATTTGGTGAATGTTACCGGTCCACACAAATATATATTCACTGGTCCATCAACAAACAAATATTCAAAACAAAAAAAATGTTTTAATTCCAGTTAGGCTTTAAAAAAACCCGAGGGTCAAATATCCCCAGACTTAATTAACCAGGTGTGATATTTACAGTAGAAACCCAACATGGCTTCCTACTGCAGAAAACGAAGTTCAAAATGTGGGGAAATGTTTAATGTAACAAAAATGATTATTTTAAAACCCTTTACATTCAAGGTAAATGATTATTAGCAATTCATTTGACATATGTTGCACCCCAAATAAAGCTACAATTATAAATATTTCTGTACAAATTGAATCAGCTGATTGATCGAACAAACACAGATATGGCATTTATAATCATATGTCAGAAAATTTAGAGTTTATTCTTTCATACACACAGATTCAATCCTTTTGACAATCTCACAAATAAACTTAAAATTCAGGGGTTAAGAGGTTAAAATTCCGAAAAGATCCTTTTTTTTTTTTTTTACCGGTCCCTCGGACCGATTACATGAAGAAAATTACCGGACTTTTGAAATATTTACCAGTTTTGCCGGTGGGACCGGTGGATTTCAAAAACTCTGCAGATACAGAAAAAAATCCATGATCAATGGTAATTTTTTGGCGGTGTCTGAATCATCTGTAGATTGAACGTTCTATCGTTAAAATGATATTGTCCAACGGACCCTGTTTAACCGAGACACAGTTAAATCATTCTAACTAAATCATCTGGGACAAATACAATAATGAGGACCACATTATGACATTTTTAGCTCACTTGAGCCGAAGTGAGTTTTCTGATCAAAATTTGTCCGTTGTCTGTTGTCGTCGTAAACTTTTCACATTTTCGTCTTCTTCTCAAGAACCACTGGGCCAATTTCAACCAAACTTGCCACAAAGTATTCTTGGGTGAAGGGGATTGAAGTTTGTTCAAATGAAGGGCCAAGCCCTCTTCCAAGGGGAGATAATCATGAATTAATGAAAAATTAATTGAATCTTTTAAAAATCTTCTCCTCAAGAACCATTGGGCCAGGAAAGATGAAACTCATGTGGAAGCATCCTCAGGTAGTGTGGATTCAAGTTTGTTTAAATCATGACACCCCCCCCCCCCCCAGGTTAGGGCGGGGCCAAAATGGCTGATCAAAGTTTTACATATGAATATATAGGAAATATCTTTGAAAATTTTCTTCTCAAGAACCACTGGGCCAGGAAAGATGAAACTTATGTGAAAACATCCTCAGACAGTGTAGATTCAATGTTGTTCAAATCATGACCCCCCGGGTAGGATTGGGCCACCATTGACAATCAAAGATTTACATAGGAATATATAGGAAAAATCTTTAAAAATCTTCTTCTCAAGAACCACTGGGCTGGGAAAGATGAAACTCATGTAGAAGCATCATCAGGTAATGTAGATTCAATTTTGTTCATATCGACATGACCCCTGGGGGAAGGGCGAGGCCACAACTGACGATCAAAGATTTACAGGATTATATAGGAAAAATCTTTGAAAATCTTCTTCTCAAGAACCACTTGGCCAGGAAAGATGAAACTTATGTGAAAACATCCTCAGCAGTGATTGGGATAAGCCAGGGAGTAAATGTGACAATGGCACACTCCAAATCAGTGTCAATGTGACATTTCAAATTTCAATGCGCCAAACAGACTTTTTAATGGGACATTTCCTAGTTACAAACTTGCAATTTATTAGTTGATGTTAGAATTTCAGTTGACTTTACTTAATTGAAATTGTCAAATTATTGTATGACGACATTAAAAGATACAAAATTAGGTATATATAAATTCACAAGTGTCAGAAAATAAATAAACACTGCAATTTAATTTCAATTCTTTATTTTTTTGTCTCCAATGTTTGACATCTGTAAAATGATTTAAAGCCTGGTTTAGATCTAAACTGCTTCCCTCCGATTCATGTTAAATTTTCGTTTTGGTTTTTCCTCCGAGACTACATCATCAGTCTTACCGTCAGATTCATCTCCATTCGTTCTGTCAGCATGTTATATTTCTTCCGTCGAAGTTCCGAGTAATTTTCTACCGATTTACTTGAATTCTGTTTCTTAGGATTGTTAAAATTAAGAAAAGGCTGCCCTTTATCGGTACAAGATATTTCTTAGGCAGCATGCTGCACTTCTGAAATCAGTTTATTTCGTGTGGGTTAGCCAATCAGAAAACACGTATCTGTTTGATTAGATACTGGATAAAAGAAAGTCATAAAAACGCTTTAACTGAACAACATTCAATACTGTTTTTTCAAGCATAAATTAACAGTGATTGTTGTGGGAAAGACTATAAGTGTTTGGGGGAAAGCTCAAAGTTTAAAAGTATGTAGTACGTGATTATATATGCGCCACGATGGCGCAGGGTTTTAATTTTAATGTACGTGACATTTTAAAAATTAATGCGACTATGGCGCAGGGCGCGTGCTTATCCCAATCACTGCCTCAGGTAGTATACCAGTAGATTCAAGTTTGTTCAAATCATGCCCCCCCCAGGGGTAGGGTGAGGCCACAATGGATGATTAAAGTTTTACATAGGAATGAATACATTTTTAGCTCACCTCAACGAAGTTGGGGGAGCTTATGTAATACCCTCGGCATCGGCGTCAGTGTCAGCGTCGGCCTTGGTGTTGGCGTCCCAGGTTAAGGTTAAGTTTTTTGGAGCAGTTTTCTTTTTAAGTACTTCTATGTCCTACATTGATTAGACATGCATGGAGGATGCTTCTAGTGTGTTTCATTGTACCAGTCAAAGTTTCAGATGCTGCAATTTCAGCAAAGGAATGACCAGGTTAATGTTTTTGGAGCAGTTTAACATTTTTGGTGCAGTTTTTGGTGTAGGTCTCATTTCCTAGGAACTATAAGCCCTATGTTGACCAAACTTGCATGGATGATACATCTAAGGATGCATACTACCAGGCTTGCTTCGGATGCTGAATCTGACCTACATTTTCTGGTTGAGTGAACAGGTTCAAGTTTTTGGTGCTGGTCTCATTTCCAAGTACTATGAGCACTATCATGACCAAACTTGCATGGATCATACATCTAAGGATGCATACTACCAGGCTTGCTTTGGATGCTGAATCTGACCTACATTTTTTGGATGAGTGAAAAGGTTAGTTTTTGATGCAGGTTTCATTTCCAATGAACTATGAGTTCTTTAATGACCAAACTTGCATGGAGGATACATCTTAGGATGCACACTAATGGACTTGCTTCGGATGCTGAATTCGACATACATTTTTCAGATAATGGACCAGGTAAAAGTTATGGGTGTAGGAAACTATAAGGCTTATATAACATTGTATAAACCAAACTTGCACAAATGATGCATCAAGGGATGAAAACTCTAAATTTGCTTCAGATGCTGGATTTTTATTACATTTTCATGAAGAAGAACTAGTTTGAATTTTTTATATAGGTCTATTTCAAAGTATCAGATCAAAATTGCATAAATATTTTCATTTTTGGCATGTACACTTTTTGTTGGTTAATTTTGTGACTTTGCCTTACTTAAAGACAACATTCATTGAGGTGAGCTTTATAATCTCTGATTGTCTATGTTTTATATTTTAAAGCCATAATTGGTCATATCTTTATGATAGCATCCTCACATAGTGTTGATTCAAGTTTGTTCAAGTCATGAACGGGAAGTAGGAATTGGGTAGGGTTGGCCACAATTGGGGATCAAAGTTTTGCCTAGAAATATCAATGAAATATTTTTTTCCCAAGAACAGAAAAGCCATGTTTAATTATATTGATATGGAGGCATCCTCAGATAGTACAAAGTCATACTGGTTCAAATGAGGGCTCCCAGGGGTAGGGTTGGGCCACAATGGGAGGTGGTTAAATGAATAAATAGGGAGAAAAAATCATCTGCTCAAAAACAGCAAAGGCATTTATTGTGTGGAAGCATCATCAGGTAGTTGTAGTTTAAAATCCCCCCCATGTAAACTTCTCAATACTGAAGTAATTTCTGCTTTTATTTTGTAGCCAATGAGCTCAGGTGAGCGATGTGGCCTATGGACCTCTTGTAAACTTAAAGTAGTCACATTTAGTCTAAACTATGTAAGCATCCTTAGTTTGGTAGATTCAGTTTTGTTCAAAATCACTCTTCTTCTCCCTTTTAGGGGTAGGTTGGAACATTTATGCATTTTAAAAGCTTTTCAATACTAAAATGAATTTTTGCTTTTTTCTTAGCCAGTGCTCTGGTGAGCAATGTGGCCCCTGGGCCTCTTGTTTGTTTTTTTTGTTTTTTTTTAAATTCATTTTTTTAGAAATAATAAACACATTACAACTGATCTTTAATACTGAATGCTAGCTGACTGGTTGAATTCCTTGTTTTAGTGTGTGGCTTTCAATGACCTTACCCCACAAGCACCTGTCCACTTCCTGGTGATTCCTAAGAAGCCTGTGTCTAGACTGGCAGAGACGGAGGACGGGGACGAACAGGTCAGTACATGTATTACGGTGTAGCTGCTTATTGAAGATGTGAACTTATTTATAGGATTAATTATGAATTTGATTATTAAGGTCCCACCATGATAGGTCAAAGCATTGAACTTTAAAAAAATGTTATGGCCAACACACTTATAATGAATTGCTGTTAACTGTGAACTGATTTTCAGTCCCTTTGACTCTATTGTACATTGTAAACTTGACAGATATAACAAATTACACTTATAACGAGGCAAAATTGTTACACTGTGTAAGCGTGTTTTACTGTACATTGATAATAACATGTATATTTCAATAAAAATAGAAGATGATGTTTCCATCAAAAATCATTCAGAATTAGACATTACCCATTATCAAATGCACGTTATATACTAGTATATATATATACTAGGATTAGGAAAATAAAGTTGCCAACTTGAGGTAATTAACCGTAATTTCTGTAATGAAATTATTTCTCTTATTCTGCATTGCAGCTCCTTGGACACCTAGTTCTGGTTGCTAAGAAGGTTGCTAAGCAGCGTGGTTTGAATGACGGCTATCGACTGGTTATCAATGACGGTCCAATAGGTGGACAGTCGGTGTATCATCTTCACATACACGTGATGAGTGGACGACAGATGGGCTGGCCACCAGGATAATTCTCCTGTAAATTTAATCACTATTATAGAATTTACAATTAAAACAATAAGACACTTATAGTGGGAATGGATTATGATGACTCTCTGGAATGTTTCTGGTTAACTTTTGATGTGGAGCATCACAACATTTGTTATATTGTCTGTAAAATTGATTTTAAGACCATCAAGCTGTATTATTATTAAAAGGACTAAAACCATTATGTTTTTAATAAGCTTTTCTTTGTGTTGGCTCACATTTGCATTCTACATGTACACTTTAGATGCGTATAATGCTTTAGAAATCTCTCCATATTGTAGTGTTATTTTGAGCTTTTTGCATAATTTAGGCAAATATTTCAAGTGAGCAATAAAGACATCTGTCTGTCTGTGTGACATTGTGAAACTTCTCACATGTTTAAGTGCTTCTTAAGAACCTCTTTGTCAATTTTAACCAAATTTGCTACAGTACTACTACTTCCTTTTGTAAAGAGAACAAGATTAAGATTAAGGGCACATCTTCCTTATGAGGAGATACTCAGACATGTGAAAATATGTTGGATCATTCAAAGATCTGTGTCACTTTTCCAGAAAAGACAACTTGTAGGATTATACATATATATTTTAAGATTCATTGCCCAATCATTTTAGCTCATCTGAGTCAAAGGCTTTAGAAGCTTTTCTTATCAGAAATGTCTGGAATATCCTAAACCCAATTTTAGTAAATGGCCAATGGTTCTTGAGAAAAGGTTGAAAATGTGAAAAGTTTAAAGACGGACGGACACTGGTGATCAAAAAAGCCCAAATAATTGAGCTTTCAGCTCAGGTGAGCTAAAAAACCCGGGTCATTTTCAGACAGTCGGTTGAGAGAGGGTATTTATTGAAGGTTGTCTAATTTGTACACTGCTTGTAGGAGGGAAAATTTCAAAACTACTAGTTTTCCTGTCTTTTAAACCCAACATGTCATAAGGCATTGGAATTCCAAGATGTGTCCGTGCACATTCAAGTATGTTTTCGATTAGATGACAATATGGTATCGCCACCAGGCGCGGATCCAGAAATTTTTTCCAAGTTGATGGGGGGGGGGGGGGGGCCCCCGAGTCAAAAAATAAATTGAAACACAGAAATTTCTTCTAAAGCATGCAAAAAAAAAAAATACGTAAAATCATTTCAAAACATGTAAAGCCTATTGGAGGGGGGGGGGGGGGGGGGGGGGGGTTAACTCTTTCAAGAGCTTCATACATTTCACTTTCACATATAGATCCGCGTCTCGGGGAGGAGTCCGCGTTTTCTAGGGGGTCCTAGGTCACTTTTGCTTGGTATAGCATGTTTAGTATATACATTTAATAACTCTGCAAATTTCAGATGCCCCCTACCCTTCTCTAGATCCGTGCATGGTCAGGTACCGGAACCATGCCATTATAGGTATATTATAAGACACCCTTATAACATTATAAGGTCTGACGACACTGCTCTAATATCTGTTTTGTATCTCTTCTTAATATACCAGAAATTGATCATAATTATCATTATCTTGTGATTTTAAACTGTTTTCAAAATGTCTAAGTAGATAAAGACACCAATTTAAAATATTGTGATATTGGTTGATCAAAAGATCTCCAACATGATTATGAATAATAAATACCCTCCTCTGGTATTTTGCACAGATGCCTCGTAGGGTATAGATATGCATGTACCTTAATTTTTTGGTATGAAACTTGTTAAAGTAGCAAAACTTCAATGTGAAATTCTTGGCAAAACTTATCAATTTATTATTGAGGAACGTGTCGTCGTGTTTGAGGCGCCCTTTAAATTGATATCGACTGTGTTCCATTTGGAAATATTTGAAGTAGAATTATAGAAACTTTTGTAATTATTAACGAGTAATTTTACATTGAGTATTTAAATAAAAAATTCACGTTGTCATGTTGAAAATTTTGTATTGCCAATCGGTTAATTCAGAATTGACATGAAATTCCTAAAATTCTTTCTAAAGACTGACTGTAGAACGAAAACTTTCAAATTTAAAACTCAAAAAATTGAGATAAAAAATATGCACATCTAAGTTAATAGATTTTAGGAAAAATATATATTGTATTGATGGTGTCCAGGGACGAAGCATTCTTTTTGGGGAGATTTGGGGCGGGCCAACCAAAAAAAAAAAATCAAATTACCCTAAAAAAGGAAAATTTTCCAAATTCCAAACTCAAAAATCCTATATTGTGTATTTGTGTGTGTGTGGGGGGGGGGGACTTCCTTCAAATTCGGTTCAAAATTTTATTCATACACTGAAATTTAATAATAAAGTTATCCTTATGCCGATATCAATATATGCATCATTTAGGGAGATGGGGGTGGGGGAAGGGGGGCTTTCAATGAACATTTTCGATATAGTACATGTAAAAAGTTATGTTACTTTGGAAAAAATGACTGTCGTTTCATAGCCACCCTTACTGTTAAAAATATATTTTAATGCATTCTCCTACCGTCATGTAGTATGATGTACCTGCATTTTCATGTTACTATAAAATTATAAATAGAAATTGAAGGGGGGGGGGTATATATAATTTTGTACAGGACAATATACTAGGAAAGCCTACAAGGATCAATTTATGGATAAAAAGAATTCAAAAATGCGTTCACGCAAAATTTTACCAAAGTAAATACTTTGGAAATTAGGAAAGCTAATATACAATGTATTAGCAGGGACTGTTACAACGCACTTTGAAAAATTACGCACTTTGAAATTTTTTTTCAAAGTGCGTTAAATTTGGGACCGAGCTATAACGCACTTTGAAAAAATTAATTTTTTTTCAATTTAAAGTGCGTTGATATCGACCATATTGACGCACTTTGAAAAAAAAATGTAGATTCATCAATATTCTTACAAATAATCGGTATGATAAATAACAGATCCTGGATGGATGACTTTTTTTTAAGATGAAGTCACTTCAGGACCTGAGAAATTGACGTTTTAAATATTTGAGGTTTTGATAAAATAAAACGGAAAAGAGTCTTGAAAAAAAGGGTGACGATTGTTTAAGATCATTAATTCGTTTCTTTCTTTTCTTTAAATTCTAGTCTTTGATAAGTATATGTGACGCGCCAAGCAAAAACCTCCCTTAACGAAGAATTTTGACATTTTCAGATTTTTATTGATTCTTGTAGAGTTTTTCTTTCTCTTTCGTTTGATGTATAACATGACATATATTTCTGTGTATAAATGTATAAAAAATCGCATGACAAAGACGGAATATTTACTTTGACGTACAGTGTACGCGTGCGTAACTGCATGAATTTTTTTAACGTAAAATCGTAAAATGACGTAAAGCTTCATAATAATTTGATGATATTTATTATTATTAAATCTTTGATTTGATTTCCTTAAAAGTAGCAACAATTAAGGATTTTTTAATCGTAATAATAGAAAATAAACATTCTAAAGTATATCTTTGAGAAACGAATGACGGGAGGGGGGTTGGGGGGTAGACCGAATTGATCGTCAAGGGACAAAACTCAGGACAAAATTAAAAAAATATTCTCTTCTTCTGGGATTTCTTCCAATTTATGGCTTTTTAATGCAGTAAAATGGCAGACATCTACATTACTGCAATAGTAAAAGAAAATTAGCAACATTTGGATAAAAAAATCCTATTGTGGTAGTATAAACGACACACGTACGGCTTCCCACTAGCTTAGGCTAGTGGGATAACCCTTAACCTTATTCGGTAAAGCACAGAGGCCTCGGGTTCGATCCCAATTAAGCAGAGGCACGTAATTTTCTCTGTTACACTATCAAAGTATTTATCTTTAAAAAAGAAGTTCACGACAGTTCTTACCCCCCCCCCCCCCCCCCCAGGGTCAATAAAAGTCTATACAATATACGAATAGATAGAAAGTATTGTTATAGTACCTGAAATTTTTTACAGAGTGCGACAGTTTTTTTTTCTATCCAAAGATTACATGTTTTAGTTTCGAATGTTTTAATACTGAAGACTTCTTGGCTTATTGAAAAGATATTCTGCACCCAAGAATAGATTGTATTTGTCTCTTGTAGTAGAGTTTGATCCTTTTCTTCTAAATATATTTATTTTCAATAATTTAAACATAAATATAAAATAGGAAACGGAAGGCCAGGAAAAATGAATCATAAGTTTTTTGAAAGATAACTAACAAATAAAATCTTTCCATTACTAAAATATGATTTAATTTTTTTTTTCAAAGTGCGTTAAGTGTCTCCATGGTAAAATATATTGATGTAGACTCTTAACGCACTTTGAAAAATTTTTTCAAAGTGCGTTGATTTTGTCCCAGTTTTAACGCACTTTGAAAATTTTTTTCAAAGTGCGTAATTTTTTCAAAGTGCGTTGCCACAAGGGACCTATATAGTTAGTATATAGGTCTCTGGTATTAGGATCAGTCGATATGGAAAAGAGGAAAGAAAAGGCGTTAAAACGCTTTTCCCCGCGTTATTTACGCCTTTTCGAAAGGCGTTATAACTCCTTTTATTTTTTTTTTTCTCCATAAATTGATCCTAATAGGCTTTCGTAGGGAATAAAATTCTTTTTTCTGACGAAAATAAAAACGGGGAAGAAAATCACATAAAACATCTTTAAAAAATTAATTCTATTATAGTTATGATTTCATACGACGCATATATATATATATTGTGAATGTAAAAAAAAAAAAAAAGAATAAAAACGGAAGAAAATCAACGTACTGTGCACAGTGAAAGGGAGAATACGTTTACTTTTATTTTTCAAGTTTTGCTGGGAAAACAATCTTTGCATGAAAAGTAGCCTCAGGTGATGGTGCCATGCATCATGCTCTTAACTGGTTCTCATTTAAATACAATAAGACAGAGAGTACCAGTTGACATTTGTTTACAAATTATGCATTGCAATAAAAGTGCAGTTTATGGTTGATCGCACAATTTCCCATCTATGGCGCACATGTAGAGCTATCACCTCTGGATGTCCAAGGATTTTTTTGTTAGCAGATTTTGCTGTCATTTCTTCAATGCAAACTACAGACCAGTTGAAGTTCATGATGGACACACATGGCAATGACAGACGTGACCGAGGATCTACCCCCAGGCAGCAGACATGTAAGGAACTCGGTCAGTAGATTCTGTTATGAACACCCACTGTTTGGATTTATCGCCAGTTGAGCATATCAAATAGAGACATATAAATTGAACATTACGATTTTTAGTAGCCTATATTCGTATATATAGTGAATAATAAATATACTTCCTTTTTAAGTTCACATGACCCTTTACCAAAAGATAATAATTAACTTCGCTGATCTGCCAAGAGGCTGTTAATTTGTCTGTTGTAAAGTACAGTTAAACTTAATTGGAATCTCAAACACAGATATTAATCTCACAGGCACTTGACGTTACTTATTTTTCTTTTAATAAAGAAAATATACACCTACCTAAGGGTATATTTTTTACATAAATAGGAAAATAAGTAACGTCAAGTGCCTGTGCTTAATCTATACAATTGTACATGGAATTTAAGTATCTTGATTACCATGAATACAAGTATATGTCAACATGATTTGATTGATAGATTGTATATTGTTTAACATCCCTCTCGAGAATTTTTCACTCATATGGAGACGCCACCACTTGCCGATGGAGAGCTGCAAATCTTGTCCTATACTTAGCACTCAGGAAAAAAATATACCCCCTACCTAATTAGGTAGAGGGTAATATATTTTTTTATAAAAAGAAAAATAAGTAATGTAAAGCGCCTGCCTGTGCTTAATCTATATACATCTGTACATGAAATTTAAGTATCTTGATTACCATGAATACAAGTATATGTTGACATGATTTGACTGGTTGATTGTACCGGTATATTTTTTAATGTCCCTCTCGAGAATTTTTCACTCATATGGTGACGCCACCACTTTCGATGGAGAGGTGCAAATCTTGTCCTATACTCGGCACTCAGGGCCATTGAGGAGGGAGGGATCTTTTTCTTGCCAGCGTAAAGTCTTTCCTCTTGTCTGCTTGTTGGCAAACCATTAAACCTAGGCTTACTTATAACTTTTGATTGATGAGAGCTATGGCTTTCATATTTCACATATGTATTCCTTAATTGTGTCAAGGCCTTCCTTTATATACCAAAATATAGTTGACCTTTTGATCTTGACTTTGGACTTTGACCCACTTTAACAAAAATTCACTAAACTTTTATCTTGGCCATAACATTTGAACAGTTTGAGCTAAGGGTTTTAATAATTCACATGTGCATTTCTCGTGGCATATTCCACTAACTAGACAGTGATTCCTTAAATACCAGTATATTGAGTACATTTACAGGATTTTACAGTATGTTTTACTGTAGACTATATTTTTACAGTGTGGATTATAGTGTACTTCCCCAGTGAGGACACAGTCAGTCATCCAATCAGATTACAGGAGGTGGAGACACTGATGGGGGACACGGGGGAGCAGGCTGGACTGAGGGAGGGGGACACCTGTCTGGCCCCCTATTTTGTCGGGGATAGACTCCACACAGCAAAGATAATCAGATGCACAGGTACAAAACTAAGCACTTATGTGCTTATATATTCACTGCCTAGTTAATGTGCAAATCTTAACAATGCAGTAAGATAAATTTATCATAGAATTATGTTATATTTGTTTAAGGAGCAGACTTACAAGTATAGCATGCCTAAGTACATCTGTTAACATCTTCACCTTAGAACATGCTTTAATTTTTACACACAGATCACCTTTATAGAATACTGAGTCATATAAATATTAAATAATCTGTATGTAAAATTGAATATTGACATGTTGGATTTATTCCAATCATTGCTTTAATGGCAGTAGGAGCAGAATATGCCATTATTTTGTATTAAAGGTGAGTTACGACTTCAGTATATTTATACAATTTAGAATTTTGTCCATTTGCAGGGAACAGAATAAAGCTGCTTCATGACTATGCCAAGTTACTGAATTTAAGGAAGAGAACTGATGGAGACTTCCTCTCGGAGGAGGAGACAATGGAGCACAGCACATCAGAAAATGACACAGGTCTAGTATAGAATATAAGGCTGGAGCACAGCACAGCAGAAAATGACACAGGTCTAGTATAGAATATAAGGCTGGAGCACAACACAGCAGAAAATGACACAGGTCTAGTATAGAATATAAGGCTGGAGCACAGCACAGCAGAAAATAACACAGGTCTAGTATAGAATATAAGGCTGGAGCACAGCACAGCAGAAAATGACACAGGTCTAGTATAGAATATAAGGATGGAGCACAGCACAACAGAAAATGACACAGGTCTAGTTTAGAATATAAGGCTGGAGCACAACACAGCAGAAAGTGACACAGGTCTAGTATAGAATATAAGGATGGAGCACAGCACAGCAGAAAATGACACAGGTCTAGTATTGAATATAAGGCTGGAGCACAGCACAGCAGAAAATGACACAGGTCTAGTATAGAATGTAAGGATGGAGCACAGCACAGCAGAAAATGACACAGGTCTAGTATAGAATATAAGGCTGGAGCACAGCACAGCAGAAAATGACACAGGTCTAGTATAGAATGTAAGGCTGGAGCACAGCACAGCAGAAAATGACACAGGTCTAGTATAGAATGTAAGGCTGGATCACAGCACAGCAGAAAATGACACAGGTCTAGTATAGAATATAAGGATGGAGCACAGCACAGCAGAAAATGACACAGGTCTAGTATAGAATGTAAGGCTGGAGCACAGCACAACAGAAAATGACACAGGTCTAGTATAGAATATAAGGATGGAGCACAACACAGCAGAAAATGACACAGGTCTAGTTTAGAATATAGGAATGGAGCACATCACAGCAGAAAATGACACAGGTCTAGTATAGAATATAAGGATGGAGCACAACACAGCAGAAAATGACTCAGGTCTAGTATTGAATATAAGGCTGGAGCACAGCACAGCAGAAAATGACACAGGTCTTTTATAGAATATAAGGCAGGATTTTGGTTTCACTTTTAGAATTTTTTTTTCAAATTCCTTTCATGGCAGTATATTGCAATGGAGAAGCTCATTCTTATCAAAAATATTGCATATGACGTGAGGGTATGTATTGACCTTGACACAAGGTCATTCTTTCAAGTGCAGACTCACTGGCAGAAAAAAGAATTGCTCATTGATTCTCACAAGAAGGCGTATATATTGGAAGTTAATATAGGTATACTTGAAAAAATGATTGCTTTTAACATTGTCATATTCTGAACCAAGGTCACTTTGGCAAGAACATGGCACCTGATCCCACCTCTGATGGTTATAGAGGTCCATGTTTACTCTGCTCCCAGTCAATGTTTTCATGGCCTTTTGAACTTGATAACTGAACATTATCTTCGTATTTCATTGTAACACAGGAGTGAGGGTACTGGTTACATTAATGCTTTATTAATATTGCGACAAGATGACAAAACTTCTTTTTAATTATTTTCAAAGTACTAAAGTATATCCTTTCTGTAATTGCCCTATTTAAAAGTACAATTCTATAAATGATTAATCAATAGATATTGTATTTCGCCATTATCTATTTTAGGCTCCATTTGGAAGTATGCCAAAGCTGTAGGTGGTGGCATTGCTGTAGGTGGACTGACAGTGGTGGCGGCACCACTGGTTCTGTCAGCGGGTGGTGTGAGTGCTGTAGTGGCAGCTACTGTCATGACTAAGGCGGTGCCGGTCCTGGCCCTGACTGCCGCGGGCGGAGTCGCTGTCAGGGAAATGGTCACAGAGGATCACCAGGAGACTACAGAGTCTGAGGAGAAGCACGTATCTAAGTCTACAAAGACAAGCAAAACACAGGCACCACACAGCCCAGAGGCCACAGACAAGGACCAATCAGGGAGCCTGTTATCTGGGGTGGGGCTCCGGTCAGCTGTGAAGGGCGTGTTTAGCTGGTTCTCAGGGACATCTGAGGGCGATGGTAAGAATTCATTCATTCTACACTTGTTCTCCAGAAAAAGGTCAAATTGCTTACTTAAAATGTTTTAAATCAATATCAATAGTGGATAGCTTGGTCACTGTAAACATGCTTAAATGATTGACTTATATAACTTCTTATTTTTGAGATTTTGTTTTCCTAGATGATAAAGATTCACTTGGAAAATATTAGTAATATTTCACAGTAGCACATTCAGGACAGGTTTACAGAAAACAAATTTCTCTCTGTGTAAAAGAATTACTGACAGAAAAATACTGAATTTTATTATAGCAGCAAAAATCAGAAATAATTTTTTGTCATTTTGATCTTCCTTTAAAAATCATTGTATATTTTTCTAAAGTTTATACATGTACCACACTTTTAATTAACATATTCTGAAATTTGTTTTCACCTGTAAACCTTTCCTGAATGTGATTTGTCTATATTTGTTTTTTCATTGAAATGTTACCAATATTTTCTTACCATTTCATTTTCATGTGTACTTTATCCTCTTTTCTAGTTGTGACATAATATTAAATCTTTTTCAAAGAAAATATTTGTTTGTATTTAATGTTTCTTACAGTACTTGTTCTCCATAGATTGCTTACTTAAAATGTTTTAAATCAAAATCAATAGTGGATAGCTTGGTCACTGTAAGCATGCTTAAATGATTGACTTATATAACTTCTTATTTTTGACAGATGATAAAGATTCCACCCATGTTAACAGTGCCAAGGACAAAGCAGAAGACAGCTCTCTGTGTAAGAACTTACTGACAGATACTGAATATAGCAGTACAGAAATAGACCTTTAAAAATCATTGTATTTTGTCATATACTAATTACTTCAGTGAAACAGACCATCAGAAATCCTGCTTAGTTTTGACCATACATGTGTACAGTCAATTCTCGAATTATCGCCATTCGATTCATCGCCATTTTCGCCATACCGCCATGATTTCCCAAAAACATTTTTCCTGCTATATAAAATTCTCTTTATAACGCCAAATTCGTCCGCCACCCTGTTTTTAAAACAAACGTTTTTTAAAATTTATATACTGCCACAGGTGTATGTGGTCAGTGAAGCACGGCTAATTGGTTAACGCTATCCCTGTTGTAAAGTATGCAAAGGCAGGCAAGGTACATGCAATTAAGTAATTAAACAAGAATTAAATAAACAATAATTTTAAGTGAAGTGCTATAACAATTTTGTTTTCTGTTTAATAAAAATTATTTAGTCATGGCTTTGCCACGAAAAGGGTTTGTTAAGTGCCAAACGGGCAAAAATAATCTCCTATATACTTTAAGTTTGCTTTAAAAAAATTATACTGTATAAATGTCAACTTTTCATTAACGATGATGCCATAACAATGAATAGCTCAGTAGTATGCAAGATAGCACCTGACTATCGATACAGTTGTCCAGGGTTCATGCATCCACATGTACTTGTCTTTATTTCAGCAATACATGTTTTCCAAATTGTACATAAAAAATTACTTTATGAAGTTTTTAAAATTTAGTATGTTTTATATACATGTACTGTAATTCCATAGAAACCCTAAATGGTACAAGTGAACATGGAGAGGTGACATTTCACATTAAAATTTTCTACCATTTACTCACTCAAGGAAATTACTATCATTCCAATAACATCGCGTCACTTTGTTCAGTGGAGCATATTAAAGTTGATCAAAATATTTCTTATCGATTGGATGTTTGATTTCATTGTGTAACGGGAGAGGAGAAAATGCACAGTATAATTTAAATAGAATGGTGATTGCATGGGCCCCCTGAAACTCCGGTTTGCAGGTGCTCTACCAACTGAACCCGGCTGGACTGTGGACATTCCTTGGATAGCTCCTTAAAGGTCTTTGGCCCTCCAAAGACCCCAACCCAGGCTCATCCCTGGCAGGTCTTTCACATGCTGTCAATTCCAGGGCATGGCACGGCACCAAATGTCCATACTATGGGAAAGGAACAATGGAGAGGTGACATTTCACATTAGGATTTGAGCCCGGGCCCCCTCAAGGAAATTACGGTCATTGCTCAATAACAACTGAGCTATGTTCCACCGGCATATTAAAGTTGATCAAAATATTTCCGGTTGACTGCCACAAATGAAAAGAATATGCTACTTTGCATATGAACAGAGAAACCAACAATGACTTTGACTTACCACGTGTTGTTGCCTATTACAAATGCTGTTCTCGTAAGCAATCTTTCAATGCAGTTGGTCTGTATTATTAGTGTATTGCTGGATTCTCTATTTCATATGCAAAGTAGTATTCATTTCATAGAAATCAAACATCCAATCGATGCAAAATGTGGTGATCAAAATGTTGAAATTTTGCATGCTTGATCTAACAAAGTGACATGCTGTTATTGGAATGGTAGTATAGCAGTACAATTCATTTTCTCCTCAAGATGCAAAAGCACCATCTAAATTGAAAGAATTCAAAGTGCAAATGCTTGATAACTTCACAATGCATCCATGCATTTTTGGATTATAATCCCCCATCCTGTTCAATTTACAGTATATTCAGGATCTGGTTTTATTAAGTTTTAAAAACATGAATGTATGATGTATGAATGTATGTTTCATGCTAAATTCCACATGAGAAGTTTCTGAGGATGAGGTGTAAACTGCTTTCCCTCCCTTTCAGATTGGCTGACTGTGGAGAACCAGCGACTGTGGGAAGAGCGGGTGTGTAGAGTTTGTAAGGACAGCGAAGTGGCTGTTCTGTTTGACCCCTGTGGACACATGTGTGCTTGTCTAGACTGCTCAGTGGTCCAGAGACGATGCCCGATGTGTAGTCAGTTCATCAGCGTTCATCACAGGGTGTACAGGTCATAACTACTGGACAGGTGATATTATGAGTGAACTACATGCATGTATTTAATATCAAACATTACAATAATTTATCTACCTGAAATTCAGAAAAGTGTAAATTTTGGGCTCTGTGAATATTGTTTTGGGGGCCTGGTTGTTAGATCAGCAGATTGATCATGATACTAAAAAAAACAATATTTGTTTTTCATATGATCATGCAGTGCCATATTTTTCATTTGTTTATAGTACTTATTTTGTTGAAAAGGGGAGTATTTACTCAACTCAGAATTTCGTTTGACACCAAATATAAAGCATAATCAGTCTTTATCAATTTAGAAATTCACACATGGAGTTTGGACAGAATTAAGTTTTTGCAGAAAAAAAGAATAAAATGTGGTTATAATATAAATGTACCTACCGGTACATTGAACATTTAATTTTTTTTTCTTAATTAAGATAGGTTGTGATTTGTAAAATGTTTTTTTCAGCCAATCGGGAATCAGGAATTAGCATATATACTAAACATTGTTATTTTGTATTTTGTCATTTAAATATTAGAATTATTACTTATTATGCTTTTATAAATTATTAAGTAAATGTAACTTTAATTAATTCTGTATTCTTATGATATTGATAATTCAGAATCATGAGTTGCATACAGTGAAATGCAAGAGACAAAATTAGAAAAAAAATCTTAAGGTTGTATAAAAAGGTTTATCTTTTTACAGTGATACAATTTCTATCTGTTTGGTGCTTTACTTGTTGTAGTAATAGGATGTTGCTGCCATGAAAATGTTTTAAGTAAATTTTATTTTGAAGCCTCTGTTCGAAGAAGGGAGAGCTTAGTGCTTTGCTGCTTTTGCTGTTTGTCTGTTGGTCCACCAAGTTTCCATTCATTTTCTTTGCAGCCATTGCACATACTGAAATGAAATTTGGTAGATAGATTTCTCATAAAGAATATCTGGGTAAAATTTTGTTTTGCGTACGATCAAGCCATTTTTGACAAAGTTATCCACTTGGACTTAGAAAAATTCCAATTATTTGAAGGGGGCCTAAGTGTTTCACATCAACATGTACACTCCTATTATTTTGTTATTTACTTGTCATGAGGACAATTTGTCTTAAGATGCTGGATCAATGATAGACGTTTGTGTTGTTTATCAGTTACTATGGTGACATAGTGTAGGAATAAGATCCGTGAATGCTTGTTGTGTTACGTAATGTTAAATATATGCTAAGATCATATTGTTTTTATTCCTGAAAGTGTTGGATATAAACAGTGTCCGTTATGTATGTTACACATTGTTAATTGTTTCTGTGTGCAATATTTTCTCGTAAGACTTTTCAACTTACAGGATTTGTTTGCAAAAGATAATTAACATACACGTATATGGCACGCCAAATTCACAAAAATGAGATAAACCTAGATTCACAATTGATAAACTAGGTTTATCGACTGTAAACTATGGTTTACAATTCGTAAACTATAGTTAGCGATTCGTTAAGTATAGTTTTCATCTGTAAAACTATATTTAACGGTTGTTAACTATAGTTTACGAATGATAATCTAAGTTTATCTGTCTGTAATAAGCGTTAACAATAGATTTTGTTGATAAACATAGATTCACGTTTGTAAATATATATATTTACAATCGTAAACTATAGTTAAGAGTTGTTAGTCATAGTTTCACAAATCGTGAAACTATATTTATCTGATCGTTAACTATAGTTAACGGTTTGTAAACTATAGTTTACAAATCGTGAAACTGTATTTATCAGACAATCTATGTTTTGCAATTGCAAATGATTGTTTTCGGTGTTAAGTATAATTTACAGTTGTGAAACATAGATTATCGCGTTAACTATGGTTTATGGATGTAAAATATACATGTAGATTAACGTTGTTAACTATAGTTTACAACCAATAAACCTAGTTTATCGACTGTGAAACTATGTTTAGCTCATTTTTGTGAATTTGGCGTGCCATACACGTACTTCAATTTTTCTCTTGGAGCTTTGTGTTGATAACCATTGATCATATTGTCTTGGAATTTGTACATATTTTAATATAATATATTATATGTTATACAAGGTAAAGTGATATTTTTGTCCTCCATGAAGACATGCTTATGATAAAGTGAGTTCATGCATTGACCCTAGGAAAACATAAATGCATATAGTAGAGTAGTTGTATAGTATTCCTGTTATTGAATACCATGCAATCATTCTTTTGGCCATTCCTACTATACAGCATTCATACCTTGATCTATCAAGACCCTTATAGTCAAGGTCTTGACATATTGTTAGTTCATTAACAAAAAATACAAATGTAACTTGTTGGTTTGCTGTTACTAAACATTTCAGAATTGATTTCAATGTCTCAATTGTCTAATGACCTTGAGTAGCAAACTTTTGTCACTCATAATATTGTGACACATTTATGGATCAGCAGCAGCAGCAGCTAATTCTGGGGTATGAATACAATTCAAACAAAAGGACCCAGATATATCTGTATCATCTTACTTTCTAATTCTCCAGGAAATGACCTTTGAGATTGACCTTTAATCAATATCATATGTCATCTTAAGGTCATAGACAACAACATACTCAAGTTTCAATTCAGACAGAGAGACAACCATACCATTATTTATACATTTTCAGATTGACTGCATGCCCATTAGAACTGTTTTTCTTGTGTTGTTACATTATAAATGTTTTACATTCACTCTGCTTTTGGAATATGTGGGTAGGGGCTTGAGTACATTTACTAGTGCTGTGCCGTATTACCATTGATATTACTTGTCCTTATTTACTTCATGGAAAGAGAGTGTTAACTTATAAAGTATACTCAATTAATGAATGATTGGTTTTCCATTGCTTTGTACATAAATGTTTCAATTATTATATATTGTTTCATTTGGCTACAATCATAGATTTTTTGTTTTTCTCTTCTTAAAGCCAATTTTGGTAATGAATGTCTATTAAATTCATAATGAGATTATTTTTCCATAAAGCTATACATGTATATATGATATAATTGAAAAATGACTCTGAATGTTTTTTTATTTAGTTTTAAAAGTCATTCAAAGAAAAAAACCGAAATTTAAATTCTGAATCTATATTCACAATATTCTTATTGGTATAAGACAAGGAGCAGCTTATTGCCATGTGGTTTTAGAATATTTTCTGTTGACAAGTATTACTTGTTGATTTAGAATTTAATCAATTGCTTAGGTCTTTGTCTTTTTTAGGTTTTTTAAAAACCCATTTTTAAGTATTTTTTTTTACATGAGTTTACTCTGGAAGTCTAAGACTTAGAAAACTTTCTATATGCATTACATATCAATTTCAAAACCGGTGTCTTTTCTTTTGCTTAATGTAAATAAACAGATCAAATCTGAGAGAGTTTGTTTTCTGTTAAAAAAAGAGGCCCAGGGGCCTATAGGTCATCTGAGTATAATGTTATGATCAGTGTGACTGCTTGATATCCAGGAGTATAGACAATTTGTAAAACTTTCACTCATTGTGATGGTTTTGGCCCCACCCCTCAATCACCAGGGAAACGGGCCATAAAATTCATAATTTTTGTACACTTTCATCAACTGATGCTATATGGAACAAGAGGCCCATGGGCCACATCACTTACCTGAGTACATTGTACTGTGGCTGGGTAAAAAGCAAAAATCAATCCAGTCAGTTTCAACCAAATTTGCCACAAAGCATCCTTAGGTGAAGGAGATTCAAGTTTGTTAATGAAGGGCCATGCCCTTGTTCAAGTGGAGATAATTAAGAAATAGTGCAAAATTGGTAGCATGTTTGAAAAATCTTCTCAAGAACCACTGGGTCAGGAAAGATGAAACTGTGGATGATCAATGCTTTACATAGGAATATATAGGAAAAATCTTTAAAAATTCTTCTTCTCAAGAACATCAAAGCCATGAGTGGTCATATTTATATGGAAGCATCCTCAGGTAGTGTAGATTCAAGTTTGTTCAAATCTGACATGACCCCAGGGGTAGGGTGGGGCCACAATGGTAAATCAAAGTTTAACATAGGAATATATAGGAATTTTTTTTAATAAAGTGCCGCGCCACAGCATGATACGCCCGTCAAAAAATTTCAATTTTCTTAAACAGTTTAGAGTGCAAGAAAATCATGTCAACCTTGATTCTAATATTTCCATTATTTTTCCATTCCTTAAAATATTTGTTTATCAATCCCCTGTGGTGTAGGCATTAATTATAACAAATATTACATCATTGATAGATTTCTATACTGGTTGTGTTAGACCTTGTTAAATGCCCATCATATTAAACAATATCAAATTAGTCTTAACACCTTAATCTGTACCAAATTAATTTTGAAAATATAAAAGGCAGGCCATCATTAAATGACATATGCTATAAACTGACCAACAGTTTTTCTGTCTAGTCCCCAAAGGATACAGATAAGACTGCTTGATCAGAGATGCTCTAAAGAAATGATTGAGACAGCTAGCCTTCCTACATTGAACTCATTAATTAATCTTGAACTGAATGCTTGTCTACTCATTACTACCCAATCAGATTGATTACTACTAAGAGGTGAATGTGTCTGCACTATCTACCATAAAACATTTTTAAAACATATAAAATACTCCAAGATTTTTTTTTAGATTTAATGTCAGATAGGATTTAGTATGTAATTCATATGGACATGCATGCTGATTGCACCCCACCCCATAAAATTAAATTTTAAATGGGACGACTTTTCAATAATAAACCAATTTCTACTTTTTCCTAGCCACAGTGCTCAGGTGAGCGATGTGGCCCATGGGCCTCTTGTTTTGTTGAAATCAGACCAAAACTGTAGGAAGAGTAGCATTTTGAAAAATTGTTTACAGACACACGGACAGACAGCTAGTCAGACAGACAGACAATCAAAAACCGATGCACTAAATTATGCACCTACGTGTATATGCTTAAAAAATAGTGTGCCAAGTTTAACACCTTTTTAATAAGGATAAAGCAATATACTATAACATTATTTGGGATGTGTAAATGAATTTAAAAAACACATTTTTAGCTACCTCCAAGGCTCAACACTTTTCTGATCAAAATTTGTCCCATGTCGTACATGTTGTAGTCGTCGTTGTTGTAGTCGTAAACTTTTCACATTTTCATCTTCTTCTCAAGAAATCCAGTTTCAACCAAACTTGCTACAAAGTATCCTTGGGTAAAGGGAATTCAAGTTTGTTCAAATGAAGGGCCACACCCTTTTCCAAGGGGAGATAATTATGAATTAGAAAAAAATTAATGTCATTTTTAAAAAATCTTCTTCTCAAGAACCACTGGGCCAGGAAAGATGAAACTCATGTGGAATCATCCTCAGGTAGTGTAGATTCAAGTTTGTTCAAATCATGACCCCCGGGGGTAGGGTGGGGCCAAAATGGCCGATCAAAGTTTTACATAGGAATATATAGAAAAAAAATCTTGAAAAATCTTCTTCTCAAGAACCACTGAGCCAGGAAAGATATGAAACTCATGTAGAATCATCCTCAGGTAGTGTAAATTCAAGTTTGTTCAATTCATGACCCCCTGGGGTAGGATGGGATCAATATGGCTGATCAAAGTTATGTAAATTACATAGGAATATATATTAGGAAAAATCTTTAAAAATCTTCTTCTCAAGAACCATTAAGACAGGAAAGATGAAACTCATGTGAAATTATCCTTAGGTAGTGTAGATTTAAGTTTGTTCAAATCATGACCCCTGGGGCTATGATGGGGCCATAATAGCCGACCAAAGTTTTACATAGCAATATAAAGGGAAACCTTTTAAAATCTTCTTTTCAAGTATTTAAAAGCCATGATTAGTAATATTTATTTGGAATCATCCTCAGGTAATGTAGATTCAAATTTGTTCAAATCATGACCCCAGGGGCTATGGTAGGGTCATAATGGCCATTAAAAGTTTTACATAGGAATATATAGGAAAAATCTTTTAAAGATCTTCTTCTCAAGAACCACTGGGCCAGGAAAGATGAAACTCATGTGGAATCATCCTCAGGTAGTGTACATTCAAATTTGTTAAAATCATGACCCCTGGGCTAGGGTGGGGCCATAAAGGCCGTTAAAAGTTTTACATAGGAATATATAGGAAAAATCTTGAAAAATCTTCTTCTCAAGAACCATTAAGACAGGAAAGATGAAACTCATGTGAAATTATCCTCAGGTAGTGTAGATTCAAATTTGTTCAAATCATGACCCCCGGGGCTAGGGTGGGGCCAAAATGTCCTACCAAATTTTTACATAGGAATATATAGAGAAACCTTTTAAAGTCTTCTTTTCAAGTACTTCAAAGCCACGATTAGTAATATTTAGTACATGGAATCATCCTCAGGTAATGTAGATTCTAGTTCATTCAAATCATGATCCCCTAGGGGGTTAAAATTCAAGCCATCCTCAGTAAACTTTCAGTTCTGATCTGATATGTGCTTTTTCCTAGCCGATGTGCTCAGGTGAGCGCTGTGGCCCCTGGGCCTCTTGTTTTGAAAAATTTCACTTACATTAAAGGTCATAGTGACCTTGAAATAGGTCGCGACACACCTAACTAAGATGCAAAACTGGCCAAGTTTGATGATTCTAGGTCTAGTTTTCTACTTATGGGCCGGAAAGGATTTTTCCATATTTGGCTATAATTTCTTAATTAAAGGTCAGAGCGGCCTACTTTTTGTGCGCAACACACCTTCTACCCAAGATGCATCAGATGACAAAGTTTGATAATCCTAGGCCTAATAGTATTAAAGTAAATATGAGCCGGAAACGAAAATGCTAACAGACGGACGGACAGATGGAAGCCTATAACATAATACGTCCCGACTTAAGACGGGCGTATAAAAATCTTCTCAAGAACAACAGTCATGAGTGGTCATATTTATATGGTGTTTAAAAAGTATCTTCAGTTGACAATTTTTTAAAGACAAATTACTTGGAATCATAATGGATAATTAATGTAATAGCAGTTTAACCAAAATTTCAATTTTTTTATTGAAATCAGACCAAAACTATAGGAGGAGTAGCATTTTGAAAAATTGTTTACAGACACACGGACAGACAGACAGACAGACAATCAAAAACCAATGCACTGAATTATGTATCTACGTGTAGTCTACTTGTGTGCCAAGTTATATTGAAATCAGACAAAAACTATAGGAGGAGTAGCGTTTTAAAGAAATTTTACAGAAAATTCTATTTTTAGTATCCATGGCAACACTGCTCATCGAAATTAAAAACCATGCACTTAATTATGTGTATTAGTGTAGTCTAGTGTGCCAAGTTATATTGAAATCAGACCAAAACTGTAGGAGGAGTAGCGTTTTTAAGAAATTTCACAGATTGTTAGCGACATATCATTAACAAGAGGCCAATGGGCCACAACACTCATTTGAGGACCTGATGTTCTTCACCAGACTATCCCCCCCTTCCCCCGTAATACTTTTGTGGCCACACCCTACCCCAGGGGGTCATGATTTGAAAGATTCAGAATCTACATTACCCCAGGATACACAGTGTACTTCCATATAAGTTTCAGCACTTCTAGCCCAATGATTCTTGAGAAGATTTTTCCTATATATGTAAATCAAGGTAAAACTTGGATTCCCTATTGCAACCTTACCCTACCCCCAAGGGTCATAATTTAGAATCTGCACTGCCCCATATATATAATGCTTTCTCAAAAGTTTCAGTTTTTCCGACCCACTAACTCTTGAGAAGATTTTTCTATATATTTCAGTGTAAAATTTGAATTCCTTTGTGTGGCCCCACCCTAGTCGGAAAATACATAGCTCTTCAGAGCTAATGTTTTTTGTTGATGTACCTGACTTTAAATAAATATTATCTTATCTTATCCCTACCCTGAGGGTCATGATTTTATAAACTGAATCTACACTACCCCAGGATGCTTCCTTATCAGTTTCAGCTTTTCTAGCTAAGTGGATCTCAAGAAAAAAATTCTAAATGACCCACCCTATTTTTTTTAGCTCTACTGGTAAGAGCTTATGGGATAGTAAGGTGTCCGTCGTCCGTCCGTCTGTCTAAACAATTTTTCAAAATGCTACTCCTCCTACAGTTTTGGTCTGATTTCAATATAACTTGGCACACAAGTAGACTACACTAGGATACATAATTTAGTGCATAATTTAGTTTTTGATTTCAATGAACGGTGTTGCCATGGTTACTAAGAATACAAATTTCTGTGAAATTCCTTTAAAACGCTACTCCTCCTACAGCTTTAGTCTAATTTTAATATAATTTAACACACAAGTAGACTACACGTAGATAAATCACTTACTGTATACAGGGAAATTTTCGCCCCTTTCGCCCTAACCTCCGTTGGGAGAATTTAAAAAGGTGCGAATTCAAAGAATACAGTAGAATTTATTAAACAAAACTGTGATTGGTCGAATTTAAAACGGGGCAAAATTGTTTGCAAGTGTAAAAGGGCGAAAATAAAGCGGGGCGAAAATAACCCTGTATACAGTAGTACATCAGTTTTGGATTTCAATGAATGGTGTTGCCATGGTAACTAAAAATAGAAATTTCTTTGAAATGCTTTCAAAATGCTACTTCTCCCATAGTTTTGGTCTTATTTCAATTTAATTTGGCACACAAGTTGCTCTAAATAGAGACTTATTTAAGGATCATTATTATATTTATTGCTGTTATAAAGTTTCAAGTCCAAATTGCTACTTTTCTCTTCATTTGTTATATGTACAAACCAGTAGAGCTACAGTATCGACAGAGACTTCTGGTTTCTTTTCTTGATTATACTCCCTTGTAAGGGGGTTTAGCCCTTAATTTTCAAAATTTAAACCCCTTTTGAATTTTGACCAAAGGATGCTTTGTACCAATTTTGGTTAAAATTGGCTTAGTGGTTCTTGAGAAGAAGTTCAAAATATCAGAAGTTTATGGAGTAATGGACAGATGGATGACGGACAATAGGTGATCAGAAAAGCTCACTTAATCATTCAGCTCAGGTGAGCTAAGCAAGCAATATGAGGACCTAGTTTTATTCAGATTGAGAAACCAGTTTATTCCAATGTCCTGTTTGATCTTTGTGTCTGTGACCTCAAAATTTACAGTGGTCATTTACTCCTCCATGGGAACCAGTCAACCAAGTTGATTTTGTCTAGCAAAGGGGTTTTCAAATATTGAGCAGTCAATCGGGGATCACATTTCGTTGACCCTTGACCTTTCAGCCTCATAATCAATAGGGGTCATGTCCTCTTCCGGGGTACCAGTGTTACAAGTTTTTTTGTCTGTCAAGTTTGAGGAAAATACTTGGTCTATTGACATACCAACAGTTACAAAGCAATATGCCCCCTTTTTTCAAAGGGAGGGGGCATAAAAGTAGTGGGGTGCCTGTCTTTAGGACAGAGCTCAGCAAGAAGACAAGTCTTTCAAGCTTAATGCTTTATTCTACAGGTGTATATATATTAATGCCCCTGAACAGACTTAAATTGCTCTGTTACAGCTACCCACACAATGAATATTAAAACATTTAAAAGTAAAACAGTTGACACATGTATACTTAATTCAAAATCACAGTGGAGAAACATATGAATATCTGACAGTGATTTTAACTGTGAGTGTATTTAGACGTGTTACCCGTACAACTTACAACATAGTCTGGCCTGGTAAATATCAATAAATGTTAACTCCACACAGATTACAGATAGGTCAATACTAAAGTCGTATAACATTCCCTTGAAAACTGAAGTAGTAAAACAATGATTATAAGGTCATCACAATATACATGTACACAATTCTTTCATTTCTTCTGTAAATCTAAAAGCCTTACAATTTACAAGACTGTAAATTATATTCAATTATATACAAATATGGTAACATAACTGGTATCTTAATACTTAATGCCTCTAACATTTGTCTGCAATGCCAAGCTAACAACCAAACTATTGTAGGTGTAGTTTTTTCCACATGGACATATATAATTCTGCAAAGTTCCAGTCACAGGTCAAGGATTAAACCAAATTACACAGATTTCCAGGATTGCCAGTGTACATGTACATACTAAATGCACTTTACATATGTTGTGACAAACTTCCACAGAAAATTTATCACTGGTATATCCAACAGTAGAAAATAGTACACCTACAGTATAATCAAGCACACAATCAAAACAACAAATAACAAGACACAAGTAAAATTATCATTAGATTTCAATAATGTACAATTGAACTAGTCTATATTTTACATTACATATATGTACAGATATTTACATTTTTTAACACCAATAAATGCCAAGAATGATAGTGTGTACCGCATCGTATCAGGTTGTGGTGTCCCAGTAACATTGTCAGTAATTATTGACAATCTACCCTTGGGGGGTGGGGGGATGGATGTCCTCAATTACTGCATTAGTTGTCTGTATCTGTAGTGAGATTGTATTATAAAAGACAGATGACCTCAACTTTTGTCTAGAATTACAGACACTGTCCTCAATATTTAACAGACAGATGATCTGAATAAATGTCCATGATAACAGACACTGTGGAAGAAAAAGCCTCAATAGCTTCTTGTATTTATAAATAGTACTGTATGTAGTGTAAGGAATGTTCTTCTAAATTAAGCTTCCAATCCTTAAAATAGTATATACAGTAAATCATGCTTATAAAGAATACCGTATAATCCCTATTAACCGCCCTTGCCCCTCATGTCTTTTTTCTATAGCTTACTGATTAAAATCATCTAGTATTTTTGATAAATTGTAGTATTATCCACTTTCTCGTGGAAAATGTAGTGTAAGGAATGTTCACTTAAAGTATAGTTCAACATAATTTCAGTGGTTCTTAAAAAAAAAATAGTTATATACAGTAAATCATGCTACAAAGAATGTGTTTATAATGAATTGATGCTTACAGCAAAGTGATTTTCATTCCTTGTGACTTTAAAATATATTGTAAACTCAATGAATGTAAGGAATTAGGCGTACAATGAAGCAGAATTGTCCATTCCTGGAACTTTGTTTTAAGAGTGTTTTACTGTACAATGTATTTATATACAGGGGTTAAAATACAGAATGTGGTACACACTAGGGGAAAAAAAATCTGTTTTCCTAACATTGGCAGCAAGATTGCAAATCAGTAGAAGAACGTTAGAAAAAGTAGTCTGTAATTTATGAAAAAAATTGAAATGTTTCTCTGTGTAAAACACTTAAACTTTTTAGTCCTTTTAAGTATTTAAAATTCATAAAATCTTGAAAAAAAAATTGATGCATAAATAACTTTGGGTTATTATTTTTTGCATAGAAAAGATTTACAATGAGACATAATTTTACTCTATACATAACTATAGTTACATTTAAAGTACATGTAATTAAAAAAAATCAACATTATGTCAATGTGGAGAAATGAACATTACATGTTACTATGAAAACAGATTATATTATTGTTATGTATTTATAAATACATTTTCCTTGAGATATTTAAGACCAGAAAAACAAAAATTTCAGTCCTCACTTTCATTCGAACACTTCACAAGACTATAGATTTTTTTAAAAAATATAAAAATCAATAATTTTAATATATTAAAATCAAAATTTGAAGTAAACGTCATACATAAATTTAAGTACATACAATATGTATAATTTAGTAGTAAACAAGCAGTTTATTTTAAAAGTATCTATTAGCTACATAATTTAGTAAAAAAAATTTCCCTCCCCAAAAATATGAAAGCATAAATCATACAGAGTTTACCCAGTATGTTGAATTTACTAAATTCTATAAGTTACTTTTACAGTAGATCCATCTGTAATACAGTTAAGCCTGTCTTATCTGAATGCTGTGTATTCTCAAATCTTGCCTAAAACAATGTAAAATTCAATTCATTTTTGATAAATCTAATTCTTTAAAATGTTGTCTTATCCAGATTTAGACAAGATTTACTGTATCAATTTGTGGAAACATGCTGCACCGGATTTATGAGATGGCAAGAAAGACAAAATTTTAACATCATAGAAAGTTCTTAATATTTTAGAGGTTTGATTTGTGCATTGTTTACAACCAATCAAATCCAGCAATATATATATATTTTACATAACATAATACATATGTTCCAAAAATATAAAGTATATAACAACCCATGCATCCAATTTTATTTTTGTTTGGATAAGGTGTCTTTTTAATGTGGCTAGAAAAAATGACCATGGATGCAACATATTTTAGTGAACCTATTTATGATTTTTAGACATAACATTGTTATGAAGACAAGAAGAGGATTTCTACATAAAACACCACCACTAACATGAATAATCTGTATAATAATTCACAAAAGTACCCATAAATAAATTTGTCACAAATTCATTCTAGTTCTTCACCATTGTTGGTTAAACAGTCTTTTGTTATAGTCAATTTTCACTAAATTCATAATAAACAACATATAACAAACCTCTGTGATGACCTGGCTGCCAGAGATGAGACTTTTTACATACAGAGTCTGGTTAGTGGTTAGTTTGTTGTCTTGGTTACCCTGACCACTGAGGAGGTGATGTCAGTACTGCTGGGCATAGGGGTCACATCCTCAGCAGGGGGGATCAGTTGGCTTAGGTCACCAGAGGGTGTGGGTGAGGCCTTCTTCTGCTTCCTCTCGAAGGCGATGGTTTTAATGAAGGTTCCATCACAGCGTTCACACACGGAATCGTTGTCATGCCAGCGACATCTTCGTGAAGATCGCCGGCGCAGGTTCATGGAGCCGGTTGCTTTGGGTGAGGACGGCTCAGTCTTGGCTGGAGATTCTACAGGGTTTCCCTCGTTTTTATCTGCGGCTGATTCCTGTGATGGAGTGTCCTCTTCTGGTAGACTCTCTTCCTTGGCCGCAGAGTTCTTGTCACTGACAGGTTTTTTACTTTTCTGGTTCTCTTTCACTTGTTTGGGATTATTTTCAAAGTCCACAGAGGAGTCAATCATCATGAAGTGAGGGATATTCCCAGTAGTTCCCTCTGTGGCAGTTTTAGGTTTTGGCCAACTCTCCGGTGTCTCCATTTCTTCACTGTCTTCCTTCCCTTGAAGAATCACAGCTTTAGTCACAATGCCTGTATTGTCAAATGTCTCCACTTTAATATTTTCAGCTTTTTCCTTACTGTTTGTCTTGGGAACAATTTTCTTTTTGGCTGCTCTTTTCTCAGCTGATTTAGTTTTCTTCTGGAGTCTTGCATCTAGAGTCTTTTTTGACAGAGGTTTGACACGTCGCCTCATCTGATTCTGAGGTCCGGTGTTTCCCAGTGAGGTGTGAACTTTGAGGTGATCATGGAGGTCTGGACGTCGATTGAATCCATCAGAACACAGGCCACACTTGTAGATGAACACCCCTGGATGGTTGACCATGTGAGCTGCCAGGTCTGAGGACGACTCCAGACACACGGGGCAGTTCTGTAGAGAATGCGACGACATCCTGTGTCTGTTCAGAGCGCGGTGACACGAGAACTTCATCTTACAGATGCTGCAGCTGACCGACACACTGTCTGAGGTGTGGGAGTCCACATGGGCTTTACAGCTCTCAACACTTCTAAACTGTTTACCACAAATATCACACTTAAACTTAAACTTCCCAGGTTCCTCTTTCACTTTATTGGAAACAGTTTTTTCTTGGTTGATTTTCTCACATTTCTGGCATGGACAATCCACATCTTCTCCATGAAGATCCAAATGTTTCAGAAGTACTCTCATGTCTCTGAATTCTGAATCACAGATTCCACAAAGATAGGGAAAGAGCTGAGTGTGTACCAATGCATGCCTTGACAAGGTGCAGGATTTGCTGAACACTCGGTTACACTTGGTACACCTATACATGGTTTTCCCGTTGACCTGGAAAGTCTTGACGGAGATTTTCACGTCGGAGGTAAATTCCTGTTTGGGGGGCTCGGACTCGCTCTCTGAGTCAGAACTCAGGTCTACAAACTTCATCACAGGCTCGCCCTGGTCTATCTCCTGATCCACCTCCATCACATAACTGCTGCTGGCTGGGCCCCTCTTGTCCTTCCTGTCCTGTTCTATGGTGTTCCGCAGGGCATCAATCAGGCTATTCAGACTGTACTGGGGCCTGTTCTCAGATGGCGGAACATTGATCTCATTTACCACCAGGTTTTTCTTGGAGTTGGATAAGTCCAACGCTCCCTCCCCCTCCCCTAGTGTAGTGAAGGAGAGGTCTACCACATTGGTATAAGGTGTCTCCGTACTGTTCCCTTCGGAATCCTTGGTTTTTTTGGATAAGTCCAGAGCTCCGTCTGTATCTGTGGCCAGGGCCTGGCAGGTCACCGATTGGTCAGATTCTGGAATCAGCATGTCCTCATGAAGAGAAATAAAGTGACCTAAGAGCTCCATCTTGGTTTTGAAATTCAAATTACACCATAGACAGCAGTCTGAAAGACAAAAACAGAGGTCTCTTAACGACACATTGATTATTATCTGTCTCTGATCTACATGTATTTGTGGTTGTGTTTGGAAATACAGATTGACAAATGTCTCAAAGGTGGTTTTTTTGTCTCAGTCCAATAACTTTTTATTGAAAGTGTGCATAAAACTTACGTATAAAATTTTTGCAGTCTTTTGGGCTGTTTGTTTTTGGTTGTGTAAGGATCTGAACATTGGAAAATGAGTGTAATTTTTATTGCCTTGGTCAAATAACTTTTTATTGACCACATGCATAAAGTAATATGTACTAGTATTTGATTTGAATTTGCTACAGCTGCTAATGACACAATGATTATTTTTAACATTACACATTTATTTTGATGTTCTTCATCTGTGTGAATCTACTTCGTGATGATGCCAACGATAGATACAGAGTATCATGATGAAAACGTGAAAAAGAGCAAGAGCCATCTTATGCATAAAATGGCCCTGTACTTATATCAATTTATTAACTATCACCCTCTTTTCCATTTCATATATCAAAATAAAGTAGACACTTGGTGCTTTCAATTTCCATCATAAAACTTCGTTTTGAGAATCCAGATATTGGAAAACAGGTTTGAGAAATTGCAATGTTCTTGAAATTTGCAGAAAACATGCGTATTTGACTACCTTCAGCAAAGAATTAAAATATGAGCACAGCCCACGATCCAAAAAATAAAACGTTTTTTTAATCTTCAGAAACAGAGCTTTCATTATGTATTTGCATATTTTGGATCAGAGGTTGTGCTCTATATGAAATATTGAAAAAATGCTTCAACTTTAGGTCATTTTCAAAGGAATTTACAGGATATGAGGAAAATGACGCATTTTATGACGTCATAATGCATTGACTAGATGTAAAATTACGTCAGGATTAATCAATACATGGTCACCAACACTCCAAGTGATAAATACTGCATTTGCAACCTAAACTGAGCAGTTTTGATTTTTCAGAAATTCTCAAGGCCAAATAAGGCCCAAAGTGGCTCTTGCTCTTTGCAGCTTATTTGATGCTTTGCATAAATAAAATACCTTGCTTATATATCTAGTTTTGTTTTAATGTTTTACACTAACCACCAAAAAAGAGAAGGAAAATATTTCTGTGTTTTCAAACCCAAACTTTCTCTTGATATGTTATGCTCAGTATAACAAACATATAGGTAATCAGAGATTACACACCTCAATGAATGTTGTGTTTAAGTAAGGCAAAGTCTTATATATATTAAACTAATAATCTAGAAGTGTACATCCAAAGATGCAACATTTATCCAAATTTGATCAGATAGGCCTTGCAGTTACTTAGGAATGGACATATTTAAAAACTAATCACTCGCCCAGAAAATGCTAGTCAAATCAAGCATGTAAAGCAAGTTTGAGAGTGTCCTTCCCTTGATGCATCATCCATGCAAGTTTGATTCAAATAACCCTTATAGTTATTTTGGAAATAAACCTGCTTCAAAAACTTAAAAATGGTCCATTATCTGGAAAGTATAGGCAAGATCCAGCTCTGAAGCAACTCTGGTTGTGTGCATCATCCATGCTTTGGATCAGGTGTAGGACTGGGATGATATATCGAGATATCGATATATCCTGATATCTGTGAGGACAATACGCATATCTATACATATGAAGAAATAGCGAAATATCAACCAAAAAAATCTGACTTCTGTTTTTCTTTGTTTATCTAACATTTGGGGTTTAATACATAAAATAAATAAGCTAATTAAATATAAATATAAAGATATGGTCAAATATCAATAATAATATGACACTACTGTTCTAAAGTTGTGGCATCGGTCATAGTTTTTTAAAAGTAGGCCAAACTTCAAGGTCAAGGTGAAAGGAGAAGTTCTTGGTATCCAATAAAATGCCTTCTCACAAGGATTACATATATGAAGTATGAAAGCCCTAGCCCATACGGTTCAAAAGTTATGGCCAATGTTAAAGTTTTTTCATAAGTTCAAGGTCAAGGTCAAAAGGTAAAGTTGTTGGTATCCAATGAAAGGTCTTGTCACAAAGAATATATATGAAATATAAAAGTCCTTTTTCAAAAGTTATGGCCAAATAAAAGTATGAAATTTTTTGTGTAAAAGTGGGTCAAACTCCAAGGTCAATTTTGGTTATATATGTGAAATATAAAAGTCAATCTAAAAAAAAGTATGAAATTTTTTGTGTAAAAGTGGGTCAAACTCCAAGGTTTTGGTGGTACCCAAAGAAAGGTATCACAATACATAAAATATGAAAGTCATAGCTCCACTAGATCAAAAGTTATGGGCAAGGTTAAAGTTTTTGTGACGGACGGACAGACGGACGGACTGACAGACTGACGGACAGACGGACAGACGAATGAGATTTAATGTCCCCTCGCTTTCGCGAAAGCGGGGGACAAAAATACATAAGCTAATTAAATATAAATATAAAGATATGAAATAAATAATAATTAACACCACTTGAGTCAATTTTTTTTTTTAAATATAAAAAGAACTTTTTAAAATAAATTATTCTTATTTGCAAAGAAATAATTTGTTTATTTCAATGCAAAAAAAGATTTTATAAGCAATTAAACCTATCGTGATACATATCGTATCGTGGCTCAAATATCGTGATGTGTATCAATATAGAAATATATATTGTATCGTCCCAGCCCTAATCAGGTGTAGCTGCAGAACTGTAGCATTATGGTTTTATTATATTAGTCTTTGACCATAACGCTACAGATCCCGTAACGCAAAAAATGTGCAATTTACAGCACAAAATTTTTTGCACACTGTTTGGAAGAATTTCTCCCCTTTCCAACATTGGTAAATTATTTACCTTTCCCTCCATAATTCTAGACACATTTTTAAATACATCTGTATATTTTACCCACCTCCCAACCCTTTTTAGTCGTCTCTACAAACAATAAACTTGCTTGAATCAAAATTTTCTGCAATCCCCCAGACAATTCAACTCAAGCCAGTTTGTCGCCAGTAAGAGGCGACTATAAAGGGTAATTAGAGGTAGATAAAATATACAAATTGGTTTAAGAATGTGTCTGAAATTATGTGGTGAAAGGTAGATGATTTACCAAAGTTGGAAAGGGAAGAAATTCTCCCAAATAAATTTTAGCGGGGTTCTAATTTCGGATTATTTTGGTGTTTAGATTAATGTCTGCTAAAATTTTAATCGCTAATATAGTCAGTACTCTTATTAGTGTCCATCTGCAAAGAGCTGAAACCCTGCGTACGCTAAAATAAATTACGTCAAAATTATTGGCATACCTTAGAGCAGGTAAAACTCCAAATTTTACACCCGCCAAGAAAACCCGCTATACGGTAGTGCACAAAAAAGTCTTGCGCCGTAAATTGCACATTTTTTGCATTACGGGATCTGTAGTGTTATGGTCAAAGACTAATATATAAAAACCATAATGCTACAGATCTGCAGCTAGATCAGGTAAGACATTATAGTCTTGGTCTTCGACTTACTCCAAAAGCATTAACCTGTTCACTCATCTGGAAAATGTAGTAAAATCCTGGCAATGCATCCAAAACAACTCTGGTATTGTGCAATGTATCTGCAGTGCTAAGTGGTTAGCATAAGGCTTTAAACAGAAGAACAAAAGTTTTATTCTGGTCATTCATCTGGATTTTTTAAATTCAAATTCAGTATCCGAAACAAGTCCAGTACCTTAGATGTCTCATCATTAGTTGTCTTAGAATTGAGTCAACTGTCAGAGAGATATAATCCTCATATGCAGGCGATGAAGGTATATTGCTGCATAAGTTAGGGAAATTGACGATAGAAAAGTTAAAGTCATCACGTTTGTCACAGAGGTTGTTTGTTAGATTACCATTAATGTCTTTTTCAAATGAATAATTCAAATATGAAACATATCCAGCAATGCATCCACAGCATCTCTGGTATTGTGCATTGAGTGCAAGGTTGGTTAGCATAAGGCTAATAGTCACTTTTGAAAGAAATTAACTGATTGGTCAAATTCAGTACATGTATCCAAAGCAAGACCATGGAAGGTTAGTCCTTGTATCCGACTATCACCTATATATGGTGTCTACATCTCCCAACTTATTTGATGCTCAAAAGCATAGTTACAATCAATTTTAAACCAAGGCAGCCTAATGATGAATAAGTTGATGTTATAGGGATTTGACACAGCCTCACTAAAGTGATTTTAAAAATTATATGGTCTTTATAATAACCTTGTAGCAAATATATACTATCACTGGCTCATACTCTGGCAGAGTTATTTCATTCTAGTTCTTTGTTTTTAAACTAAATTTGACCATGGAATATTCTGTCTAGTAACTGATTAGCCAGCCGCTTATGTGTGTAAGTACAATATATACTGGTACATAAAAAAGACATTTCTCCTCTACATGATCATGTTCAAATCCCCCATCTTTGAGTGTCTGAAAGTTCTATTTATAAAAATAAATTTATATCAATCAAGAACATCCTGCATTGTCGCTATTTTTCAAAAACTTTCGATTACAGTCCCACCATTCATTTTTGGCAATCTAGTGGAAGTGTTGACCTCCGAAAGACTTTCCATAACTTTTTAGAATTCTGCATATTGTACTTTTAGTCTGCATAATTCCTTGTTATTTATGTTCGGCGACCTTGAATGTGCATACTATGATATGCAAGTATTCTTTATCATTCCAAGCTAACAACATAGGTAATCAGAGATTACAGAGCTCACCTCAACGAATGTTGTCTTTAAGTAAGGCAAATTAAGTCACACAATTAACCAACAAAAAGTGTACATCCAAAAATGCAAAATTTATGCAATTTTGATACTTTGGAATAGACCTATATAAAAACTTAAAACTAGTTCTTCATCATGAAAATGTAATTAAAATCCAGCATCTGAAGCAAGATTGAGAGTTTTCATCCCTTGATGCATCATTTGTGCAACTTTGGTTTAGTTTCTTGGTGATAGACCTGCACCGTCCCATAACTTTTA